CTGCAATAAACATGAAAAGGCTTGACTATAAGCTCCATTCTGACATTTCCCCTTCTTCAAGCTAAACAGTTTTGATAGTTTTGTTTTCAGATTCCATCCATAGCCCTGGTCTTTCCATTTCAATTGTTAACAAACAAAGGAGTTCATTCTTTCCTTTCTTTTGAATTTCCTTTCTGTTTTGGTTCGTTCTTTTACTTTGCTTCATGTTGCATTATTATGATATCATTTTACAACACAAGCCCATGCAGAACTACTTGGAATTAAACCCCATTGAGTTCAATGGGGCATACTGCAAGGTAAGTAAAAGCAGGGAGTAAGATGTTCCTGCTAAACATCAGGAAAATCTTTCTGACAGTAAGAGCTGTTCAACAGTGGAACGGTCTCCCTTAGGAAGTTGTGCTTTTAAAGCAGAGGTTGGGTGGCCACCTGTCATGGATACTTTAGCTGAGATTCTTGCATTGCAGGGGGTCAGACTAGAGATGACCCTTGGGGTCCCATCCAATTCTACAATTCTATGTTTCTATGATTTTATCACTTGATTGTAAAAAACAGACAACAAAAAACCCTTTATAGAGATTTACAAATAAGATAAACAAATAAGGCTAAATAAAATTACAAATGTCTAGTTTGACCCTCACCTAATCTAAGGTTAAATTGTTGTAATTTAAATTTTGGCATATTTCTTTTCTTCCTCTAGCTTAATTTATTTTGTCTTTTGTAAATACACCATGTTACACAATATATTAGATTACAAGCCCATCTAGGCAAGACCTATTTTTCTTAGGCTTATATCTTTTAGGTGTTCAATAAATTATGAATATTGGTATTAAACACATCAGTTTCAACTGAGTTATCTTTAAAGAATTATGCTGAGTGCATCAGACTCCTTCATGCATTGCTTTGTACCCATATATCTGGTTGGTCTAGTACTCATATTAAACAAGTATTTCCCTGACATATTACCATTTCCTAATTACTTTGAAGTAAGACTTGGAACTTGCCTTATCAATCACAAATTGAGTAATACACCATATTACGCAGTGTCTGGTGATCTTCTGAGGAGTCCTGCATACTTGAACATTTTCTTAGTGTATATTAATATGCAACTCCCAACCCAATCAAAGAAATTGGATTGAATGGAGCAATTTTTACCCCCAATATTTACAGATGGTTTGCCCTTTAAGGATCTGAGTTCAATACAAGGAGGCAGAGCCTGGAAGAAGTAGTCTGGGGCCGGGGTTCAGAAAGAGGCTTTGTCAGAGCAGGCTTCAGGAGCTATCCATTGTCCTGCAACTCCCGATTCATCTTGCCTTGTGGCATCCAACCAGAATACACCACTTTTCTTATGTTCTTATTGACCCACTAGGGTTCAAACTATGGTCTCATGTTCTGTGATTTTATCCTTCACATTTTAAAGCTAAAGTAGCCTGTTGCGGGCCAAGTCTCCTCTTTCAGAGGACAGAGCTGGGATGGAGGAGAAAGTTGATGGAGGGAAAGACAAGAAAAAGAGAGGAGGAAGAAAAGAAGGAGAAAGACAATCATATGTGCTGAAAATTAAGCGCATCTCTTGGTGTAGGTGGGTATAAATGGTGGCCACTGGTTATGAAAAAGATAGAGCCTAATGCAATAGAAAGACAGGATTGTTGTCAATGATTATGGTGAAGGTGGGAATGAGAAGAATGAGAAGAACTATAGCAGCAGCAGCCTCTGCAGATCCAGGATCACACTGGAGGATTCAGTGCTGGCAAAAAGCAAGTAAGGTTAGTTGAAAATAAATGTCATCCTAAGGCAAATGCCAGGAAGATTAATAGGAGGAGTCTAGGGGCTCCTGGCTTATAATTCTAATTCTAATTCTAATTCCTGACTCATCAGGATGCTGCAATATAAATACATCAGTGGTTTATTTATTACCTATTCTGACTTAAGCAGATAGGTGGGTACTCACAAATGACTTATAATAAAACGGAAACATTTCTCTCCACAGTTAACTAATTTGCGCCTGCAATGCCCTTGCACATAGTCAAGCCATACTTTGCATGTTATTCTGCAATCGGACCTTGGAACCCTGTGGATGGCTGCTCTTTTTTCACATTTATCTTGCTCTTGGCATGTGTGCCATGTTCATTTGCCATGAGAAGATGCTGTTGTTTTGCTTGCTGCTGATTGATACTTTGAGGTCCCTTGATACATCCTCTTTACTGTGCAGTCATGATGATTTATGCACCTTATGGTATCAGGGCTGTTATACAGCATTGTGCTTTCAATACTGCCTGCAAAGGTTTTGGGGTGAACATACTGCTTCATTGCCAATCACTGCATGTCCCATAATGTCCTGCTAAAATCCTGCAGCTTTTTTTTACTAAAAATGTGCCAGGATTTTCTTGTCCCACTTTGGTTGCATCACAGTGCAGGGGTGCCCCTCCAGATGACATGATATGCTGCAGAAAACACCAGCAAAACAAAACTCCATTCTGGAGGGGCCGTTACAGCATTGAGTTGTGACTTCTGCTTATTAAATGGGAGGCAACTTCTACTGTTAGCTTAGTGACTATCCACAAATACCATGAAAGGCACTTTAATTTAAGAAAGTTGCTCAGGTGAGCATGAGCTCCCCTTCTTATCTCAGACAGCAGTGACCCTCACCTCAGGCATATAAAGTGCTTCTCACAATTAGGGCCAAATTAGATGTAACATCAAATGCATTTAATACAAAGATGCATCAAAGATACTTTTTTTAAAAATGTAAACACTGCACCTGGGGAAGGCTCCCTGAAAACTATCAGAATCACAGCAGATAGAAAGGCAAAATATAACTTTAAAATGGCTGTTTGCATTGATGCCAAAAGGGCATTTCCTCCCAATATGGGATTTCCTCCCAATGGAAATAGTAATTTCAGATGAGCAATTTTAGTTTGGACTGCAGCTGCAATTCTGATAATTAGCAACAACCACCCCCCAAAACATTCATGGTGTTCATGGTGAATGCAGACACATTTAATGACCCAAAGTTTAACTGGGTGCAGGCGATTGCCCTTTCTCTGCTAATTTCTGCCTTTGCCATCAGCTGCTTGGGGTGGGTGGGAGGTGTTCACCGTTTTCTCGTCCATTCTTCTTTCCTAGCTGCACTTCTATAAGAGGGAAGCAGCCTGCAAACTACCTAGGTAAGTTAAGAAGGAAGGGACCCCTCTCAGCCCACTGCTACTTGTTGGTAGTGGGGCACTAAGTTTGCATTGTTTGTTGCAACAATGACAGTAAAGCACAGAAATTGCATGTGCTCTGAACCCAGTTCATGTTCTCCCTTGAGATTTGCTGGCCACACTAGATACTGTAACCAGGCCATCCAAATTAGTAGCACTCTGAAAAATCCTGAATTCATGAATATTTTGCAAGGAAGAGGTCCCCTAAGGAGACCATTGTTTCTCACAAGTGAAGCCTCACTTCTCTGAGAATAATATTTCAGGAGGATGTCTTGGAAACATTTGTTTCCCCAGCAGAAGGAGGGGTGATGCTGCTCGATCAAAGCACCCTTTTAGAATGGAGATTGAAAGAGGTGGGTTAGTGGAACCTATCCTGCTCTCTAAGTCACAGATCTCTAACAGAACTCCAAGGGATCAAAACACGGGCCAGAGTGGCCATGTGTCCCTACTTTAGAAACAACAGCTCTCTCTTTGAAGGGCTGTGTCCAACTTCATGTGAAAGAGGCATCAGATGGGAGAGCTTCAGGGGCCTTGAAGTTGCCCATCATAAGTCAGCACCTGGACAGCAAATACACATCAAAAGCCCCCTGGTCCCAGTCTTTCCCACTGTGCTGAGATGCAGTGCATTTCCAGTTAGATTCTAGTGTTTATTTCTGAATTTGAATCTCTATGTATAAATTAACATGTGCTCAGAACTCATGTGCCCCATTTTGTCCTCATTGGCTGTTCATAACTAATGTTGAAGTTCAACTGCTAATGCAGCAGAAATGGGGGAATGGTGCCATCATCTTGCCCTTCACATCAGGCAGCAAAATGTCTTAGCCTAGCCCTGATTTGTTGCACCTCTGTATGCAGAAGGCCTCAGATATAGCTCTGGACATCTCCAGTTAAAAGAATCGGGTAGACAGCGATGTAAAATCCCTCCGCTTGAGATCCAAGGAAGCCATTTCTAGAGTCAACATCTATGGGCTAGGACCTGGTATAAGGTAGATTTCTGTGCTTCTAACCATGTGCTGGTCTCAGTAGAGCAGGCATAGGCAAACTCGGCCCTCCAGATATTTTGGGACTACAACTCCCTAGCTAACAGGACCAGTGGTCAGGGATGATGGGAACTGTGGTCTCAAAACATCTGGAGGGCCAAGTTTGCCTATGCCTGCAGAAGAGAATTTGTCTTTTACTTGTTGGATAGGACTAGAAGGCTGAGATTCTCTTTCCAGGTACAGAGTTCTCAAGCTTTAGCTATGGTGGTGTAACCCACTGCTTATGCCAACTCAGCTACTCTGCATCAATTAGTGCGATCTAACCACTGTTGTCTCTGAGGAGACCATGTACTTCTAGTTTATATTCCACCCACTTCTTTCCAAAGGCCTAAAGGTGTACATATGGACATAACACTGGTGATCCACTGTAATGTAATGGATAGGGTGTCAGAGTAGGAACTGGGAAACCAGTGTTCAAATCCCTACTCAGTCAGTTCAGTGGGTGACCTTGGTCCAGTCACTGTCTCTCAGCCTAACCTACCTCACAGGGTTGTTGTGATGGCAAATGTTTGCCACCTTAAACTCCTTGGAGGACCCTTTGAGATATAATGGTAACGATAATAAGTGATAATAAATTGGTAAATTCATACATACGGATAGCTAAAGCCACAGGACTTCAACGTCTTGTAAATCCACCAACATTACATTAAAAATAAAGCAAACTTAAAAATGACGTGTGATTAAATTCCACGTGCAATAAATCTTTCAAAGCCCCCAGACTGCTGTCATCATCGTCCTCCTCCTCCTGTTTTGCTATGTTATGGATACAAGCCTTGTCTGTGGTATTGGGGATCATCATAGCAAGTCTCACATCAGTAAAAGAGATTGAAAGGGGCTGAGAAGATGTTAAATAGAGAGGCAGGAGAGAGGGGTGTGATCAGCTCTCGTTGAGAATCTAACAAGGCAGGAGGGAGAAGAGGGACTCGCAACACCACAGTGCAGCCGTGACATGAAAGAGAAGCTGTGAAGAGGAGGAAAAAGACAAGGATCTCCTTATTCTTTCAAGCATCATGAAAATAACTATCCAAATCATGTGCATCTTTCTGTTGATAACCTTGTATGAGTGTGCAGTAATCACAGGGGTAAGTTGTTCTTTTCTTTCTACTTCACTCGTCTGATTCTAATTGTGGCAGAAGGTCTGGCTGGGATGTGTGGGAACTTGTGCCCCATTTGCTAGAAAGATGGGAGCATGATTTAGGCAAGTGTGGGTCAGAAGCAAACTAGAAGCCTGTTCTCCAGAGTAAAGGTCTTCTTGGCAGAAGGACCAAATCTGCAGTTTAAAAACTAGAATTGCTATCATTTAAGGCCACAGCAATACTTACAGTAGCAATTAGAAAGCTGTGTTACCTTCTATTGTCAGCTGATATAAATGGCCATGCTTAATTCAGATTTGGGCTCCACTACCTAGGTCTAAGCACTGCACTGGTAAAGTTGATGGGGCAAGCCTGACTGAAAGAAGTGGACTGTGATTTGCATGTTAATATGTTTAGAGCCAGGGTGGAAGAAATGAAGGGATGGCTTTCATTTTTTAATATGACAGTAAAATTGTTACTTTACCCTTTATTAAGGACATACATTCATTTAATGCAACTCCAGGATTGAAAAGGGGGGGGGATCTCACCCTGCAAATTGACAACAAAAGAAATCAAACAACAAAAGAAATGGACAAGAGTTACACAATATATTTTAATTATTTAAGGCTTGCTGTAATCATGGAACTGGGTGCAAATATTGAAGGTTTTTTTGGGGGGGGTTGAAAAATATTTGTGATCACAGAGGAGGGTGGGGAATTAAAATGTGACCCTAACCCATTTATGTAATGGTTCAAGAGTTTAGTGTGCAAGCTAAATTAATATCAAATTATTTTTCCATCTTAATTTTTAAAAACAACAATGCTGAATTTGACTAGCAATACTGAATAGTAAGAATTGTTTTTTTTGTCTGCGATGCAGAATAGTTCTCTAAATGTTCACTATAAACACAACCTTAATTATTGAAATGTTTTTCTTCCTTGATAGTGGGTGGAATCACACTAAATCAATTCAGAGCAAACCTATCAAAATTAAGTTATGTCCATTACTTTCAGTAGGTCTACTTGAAGTAGAACTAACATTGGATACATAGTTTTTGCCACTCAGTATTACTGATTCCGCCCAACTTGTTTATTTCCAATATAGAATTTCCTACACAAAATGATGAGAAAGCTCTCCCCCCCCCAAAGCTGCTGTTTTACAACTTAAAGTAGCTTTAAAATGCCTATTATTACCAGAGCTGGTGCAAAATTTATATTTAAAGTATATTTTAACACCTAATTAATACCTCCATGTGTTAATTAAGGCCTTTATAGAAGATTGCAGCAGTTTATTCTGTGTTTAGAAAAATGGCAAAGGTAACCCCAGAGATGATTCATAAGTCTCAGTATTGCATGGTACACTACTCATGTGAGAAGAGCACTTGCGTGAGCAGCTATTTCCACACAGCAGCTGATTTCTACATCAGTTCTAAGGCAAAATCCTGTTTGTGGTTGGAGAAGGGCTTTAGGTCAATGGTAGATTGTCTGCTTTGCATGCAGAGGGTTGCAGGTTCAATCCCCAGCATCTCCAGATATGGCTTGGGAGAAATCTCTGCCTGTAATTCCAGAGAGCAGATGCCAGCCAGTGTTGAGAATACTAAGCTAGATAGAGCAATGGTCTGATGCAATATAAGGCAGCCTCCTATGAAGCTGCTGGGAAATCTCTTTAGAACTGAAGACTGCCTAAGTGTTTAGAAAGCCGCTGTTATATATATATATATATATATATATATATATATATATGGCATAGAGGTGGCAGAAAAGCCAGATGATAAAGCAGCAACAAAGCATTAATAAGGTGGCTTTCTAAGGCTCAAGTCAGCTTGTGCTAAAATTGATGTAAAAACACAGCATGGAAACTAGGCAGGGTAACCACCCAAGCATTTCAATGCATATATAAGTGAAAATAGTGTATAAAAGCACCATATTATGGGAAATTGCTTTGCAAAAATGTGTAACTATCAGTGGGATTCGCCTAAGGAGTCCCATCAGCTGATGCAAGGACTTCCACTTCTTCAGTGGACAAAAATATTACTCGGTTTGGAGTAGCCTCTTCTTTTGAGAAAAAAACAGTATTCTTCTGTGAAAAATAAAGTTGCTTCCAATGATACAGAGCACTTATTTAGATGTGGCATGGAATTTTTTGTGATATAAATCACGATCACGATCACACGCAGTCTGTAGCCCGCTGGCAGTACGAGTTCAATATGGGTATGTCTTTAAGTTAACACCTTACATTAAAAACCTGACAGTACCAAACTACCGAAGGCTTTTCACCAAAGCCAGACTAAATGTCTTTCCTTCTGCAGTGTTGGATGGCAGGTTGAGAGGAGTTCCCTACCAGGACAGACTTTGCTCGTGTGCTTAAGACATCGATTCCATAAAACATATTTTGTTGCATTGTGCAAAATATGAGCAAGCCAGGGCTGAACTGATACTACCCTTGCTGGTACCTTTCCCGGGAAAATCAGAGGCTCACTATGTCAGGTTCCTACTGGAAGACCAGACAAATGTTAGAACATTAGCAGTGGCAAAGTTTTTATCGGTGGTTGCAAGATCAAATGAGCCCTATATTCTAAACAAAATGCTTGTTTAACCTGGAGGTAGGCTGTATGAACTGTGTATTGTTTTGTAATGATTTGTTGGGTCTCTGGACCATAATAAAGATTGATGATGAAATTTGTGATATAAATGCTTTTAAATAACTTCATAAATGCTATTCTATATAGGTCTAAAACAAGCAGAATTCAGATTAATTCAAAGTCAAGTGTCAAGTACAACTGTTTCGTCAACACTCCATCACAGTCGTCTTTCCCAGCCCCCCGTCTCAAACAAGGATGAAACTGTCAAACTTCATATTCTAATAACTGGGTTGTGGTAGTTTCATTATTGATGGGTTACTTCCTGTTCCTTAAATAATTCTCTTGGCTTCAATGTGATGTCTCATGAATAAGCTTGGCAGAACTTGATTTTTATTTGTGTGGCATTTCCTTGAATAAGACTGATACTTATTTTCCTCATCTTTACTTAATTTAAACTATTTGAATTTTAACAGATGCAGCAAATTGCATTATTACGTATTTGTCCTGACTTTTATCTATTTAAATTTTCACAGCTGTGTGAGTGAGTCAGATGGTTTTTGAATGACAGTGGAAGTAGATGTTTTAAAAAGATCAGCCCACTTTAGGGCTACATTTATAAACCAATAACCATTTTTAAAAAATTATGCAAGGTTATAGCTAGAAGGGATCTTATGACATATTATCCAATGGAGTACTCAATGGCAGGATCCATTATGTCCACCCCACCTTTCAGAGGGTGGAATCCAACATAGCACTGAGTCTCTCCTCCACTCCTTCCCCACATGCCCCCTAGAGCTTTTCTAGATGTTTCCCCAACCCTCTGGGGAAGTGTAGGGCAGACACTGGCGGGGGGGGGGAGTTCCCATTACACAACAGAAACCGTTGTGCCAATGGGATACCAAATACAGTCCAGTGTAACCACTTCATCAGATTTTCATGCTCCAAAAGAAAAGAAAAACGAGTAGTAGTCAGGTGGGATTGCAGAGTGGAGAGAAAAATATTTAGGAAGAGCTGCACCAAAGGCAAATTAGAGATGAGCTTGCAGTATATCCAAATCTGGGAGAGTTGTGTACCTGATGGGATACCTGCCAAAGTCTTCAAAGTGTGCAGAATTGAACTTACACAACAACTTCACAAGCTCATTGAAAAAAATCTGGGGAGAGAGATCCCAGCAGACTTTAGGGATGCCAAAATTATCAATCTCTTTTAAAAAGGTGATAGAACGGATTGCAGAAACTATTGAGGCATCTCTTTATTAGCTGTGGTCGGCAAAATTCTTAGCAAACCATCTCATAACAATATCTGAGGCTACTCTTCCTGAATCCCAAAATGGTTTTAGACCTTCTAGGGGGACAGTGGATATGATTTTCACCACTTGATTGCTTCAAGAAAAATGCAGAGAGCAAAACCAACCCCTGTATATGGCATTTATTGACCTGACTAAGGCCTTCGACACTGTAAATCATAATGCCCTGTGGACTGTCCTTCTGAAAATCAGCTGCCCAGATAAATTTGTGAGCATCCTTCAGCTCCTCCATGTTAATATGACAGCAACAATCCTAGCCGCTTTCTGGATGTTCCCACAATGCCACAGAGAGATGCTACATGCTGGGGAAAAGAGAAACAATGGGCAGCTCACAGGCACCCACCACAGATTGCTGCAATGCTGTTGCCTTCAGGAGAGGAGCTGCTGGAGAAGGCACACTGCCTTCTTTATCAGAAAGTCCCTTACCCTTGGTGCCAGCCTTGTCTAAATGTTTCTACTGCTTACACAAAAACCTGTGCCCCTATAATCACCACCAACATGGCTACTCTTCCTACTCCGCAATGTCTCCGAGACATAATGGTTTTCTTTCTATCCTAAAAAGCTCTTCACCAGAGATGGGCACCTTTAAATTTCCTAGATACAATTGCACCTCCAGACAAGTCAGTTTGCTGCCAGGAATAGTAGTTTCCTCCATGTTGCTAATTCATACTACTGTGGTGCATCTTTCTTCTAGGCCTGTGAAAGGGACCTCCAGTGTGGAGTTGGGACATGCTGCGCCATCAGCTTGTGGCTCCGGGGGCTCCGGATGTGCACGCCATTAGGGCAAGAGGGAGATGAATGCCACCCCATCAGTCATAAGGTATTTGCAAGTGGCCACGGCCCACAAACCAACATCCTTTGTTTTTAATGTTCTTAATGACTGCTGATGCACTTTTTTTTTTTAACAGAGTTGGTCAGATGGAGGGGAGCACATTTGGACAGGGTGCTGCCATGCCTGAAGGGGTGTGGAATGTCTCTGAGCAGTGGTTGGCTTGTCTGTCTGCTTGTCTTCAGGCGTGGAGGCAAGGACAGAGTGGAGACAGAAGAGGGACAGAAGGAGAGGGACATGATACATCTGATGTGGTTGCTTTCTGTCTGATCTTTGTACATGTCTGCTGGCTAGTATTAGAGTCCAACTTGTAGTATTTGTAGATATCTATTTGTACTCATATTTGCAGTTTAGTCCAGTGAATAGCTTTTGGGATGCAATAGTTAATTGCTCCACCCCTTGAACCAGATCTGGCTGTGGACCTGGGAGTTCTAGCAAAAACACAAAGTAGATTCCACAAGTCTGCCCAGCTCTGTTCTAAAGCATTTACCTTGGGTTCCACTGACAGCATATTATTAACATTCTTCATTTTGTGTTTTCTCTGAAAGGTTCCTTTCTTTGGAAAACGGCAACATCATACCTGTCCATGTTTGCCAAACTTCATATGCTCCAAATTCATTGATGGTCGATACCGATGTTCAATAGACTTCAAGAGCATGGACTTTTAATGGAAAGGAAAGCTGCATAGTCCTTCCTAATCTGCAGTGCATATTAAACACATCCTTATGTCTTTGACATCCCATGAGAACAATTCAGTGTCCATTTACACAAGCATTGTCCATTGACATTAATGGAGTCAGTGATTCATCAACACCCAAGAATTGTGCTCACAAATGAATCAGGGGAGAGTTTATAATATAATTGATTAATTGAAATAAGTTTGGGGAATTGCTGTTTGCACTCCATCCTAAAAAGGCTGTTGATCAGTTGTGCTTGCCTAGAGCAGACTCTCCAACCCTCACATGTTTCAGACTACATCCCCCAAGAGCCTCAGCCACTGGTTTTTAAAGGTTTTCACATGCCACCCTGAGCGTGTGTGTGTGTGTGAAAATCAAATCAGGATTGCAATATGGGAGGTTCAAACCTTTCCCCCTATAGATTTCCCCCAATAAAATCCCCTCTGCAACTGCCAGCTGCCCTGTAGGACAAAACCTGTTGTATGTTCCCCTAGTACTGTGGTCTTGCTTATATTTCTTCCTCCTCCTCATCCATGACTGCTATTAAATCTTTAAAGTTCAAAGTCCCATCTAGTTTGGCCCTGCCCCGATTTTCATTATTAAAGCCTGAATAAGTATTATAAGTTTTTTTGCTATTGGGTGAGCTCTGCAGTTGACATGCACCCCTCTACTGACACACACACAGAGGGAGAGGGAGAGTGCGAGAGAGAGAGTGCTGTATTCTTCCAGTACCAGTTTCCAGACTTCCATATGCTCTGGACAGACTTTTACTTCTTCCCTTAAACACTCTTCCACCTCCACCCCCAGGAACTCAGCCAGTGGAATTGTTTTTCCTGTTTATGTAGATACCATCCCACAGATTATTAAAAAAATTATTAAAATAAGAAGCCAATTCTTAAAATAAATAAATAAAAACCTTGAAACGTTCCTCAGGGGGGATGGCTGGAGGGAAAGAGAAAGACAAGTGATATGATTGCCACAAGGACTGACCACATCTGCATTCCACACAGCTAGTTCTCACTGGAATCAAGAGGAAAGCCTTGCTTTTTATCTTGACTCAATTTGACAATGTGTACATCTATTGAAAAATAGGCTGAGCGTGAATTCCTAGCAGGCTCACTGCTGAAGATGTGTATATCCGAATCGCAGCCTCAAGTACATTGCTTTGACTATGGATTGAAGCCCAGAATTACGGGGCCTGAATATGCCATATAATATGGAATGTTTCTCTGTAATGTGTACATTTGTTTTTTTAACCATCAAGTGTGCTGTATTGTATTTTGAATTATTTTCCTGCACTTGTTCATAATATTATATATGTATGGAACTTCTGTCTCATTGTGAAATTGTGGTGTTGTTTTGGGAACTCTTTGGCTGGAGGCAGAAGTTCAAAGCCTTTTCATAGATGCTTGAAAAAGAGGCCACTTCTCATGACATAGACAATTCTCCTACTTTTGCCACTGATAAATTGGTTTTTGTACTGCTTCAGAAACCTGTTTCACCAATAGGACAAAAAGAAAATTGTGCGAATGCACTATGGGAAGAAGACCCTGCAGGATCAGGTCAAATGGCCCATCTAGTCCAACATCCTGTTCTCCCAATGGCCAACCAGATGCTTGCAGGGAGCCTGCAAGCAGGAATTGAGCACTTTTCCCACCTGCAATTCTGAGCAACAGGTATTTGGAGGCATGCGGTGTCTGTCAGTGGCCGTAGAATATGACCATCATGGCTAGTAGCCATGGGTAGCCTTGTCCTCTATGAATTTGTCTACTGCTGTGCTGGTTGGCCCTGCTATCAGCCCTGTCTGCAATATGGGGCTGAGATTGAACTAGTCTCTTACACAGAAGTCTAAGGAGCAGGTAAATGGCCCATGTGCCTATGTTTGTGGCCTATAGATATCCCTGTTGTCTATCCCTCTGGCAAGCCTGGGTTCACGTTCCACCTTGTCCTTGGGCAAGTCTCCATTTTTCACTTGGCTCCCCATCTGTAAAATGTGAATAATAGTGGTGTTCTTCACGTTATCATTTTGAATGCGACAACTTTGCACCTTTAAAATATCATGCAATGAACCCCCCTCCATGTGCCAGACAATGAGAGGTTTGTGCAAGAGGTGATGGCCTGCTAAATGAATTCATACTTGCCACGTACAACATCCAAAAAAGGTTGCTTTGTAGAAAAGGTGACCTACCGCACAAGAGCTCTTGTTTCATTCATTGTTTATTCTCTAAGATAAAGTTGGTAACTAATGTGTTTTGACTCATTTAAGTACTTCAGTGTCAAATTCAAATGCCCTGTTGCATCATGACAAGCCATGCACAAATCTAATAAGGGAAATAGGCAATAAATTTGAATTGAGGAAATAGAACAAGAGAATAAGGAACCCTGTTGGATCAGGCCAAATGTTTGTTTAGTCCAAATGCAACAGTATCTTGTACCAAGTTGAAGACTAAAAGTGCGAGAAGAGGGAGGATAATCCCATTGCATGGACAGAAATCCTTGTACTGATGGGACAAGGGATATGGATATCACCCATAGTTCTTGTTCTGCCGTTCTGTGAGGGCACTGGCAATGAAAAGTAAGTATTCACCAAACATCAGATTGCAATCCCTAAAAGCTGCTGAGATTTAAACAATCTGTCCAGCTGTGGGGCACAGCTGTGTGGGACGAAATACCCTTCTGGTGTTAAGAACGTCAGAGCAGCCCTGCTGAATCAGACCAAAGGTCTATTTTTAGTCCAGCATCCTGTTTTTCACAATGACAAACCAGATGCCTATGTGAATCACAAACAGTAACACTGTCTTGTGCGTGGTCCCGTTACTGATATTCATCAGAGTAATGATGTCAACCATAAGCATGTGATAGAATTTTTTAGGAGGCTGTATCACAGAGATGAGCATCATAACCCCGATAACTGCAGGTAATGTGCAGTCATCAAGACTAGTTGCCATTGATAGGCCAGCCACTTTATCCTCCAAAAAGTCATCTAAACTGGTGGCCCTGAGCACATCTTGTGATAGCGAATTTCATAAACTATGCACTTTTTTATCCAGAAATTAAGATAGATTAGAATCACTGTGTTCATTCACACAACATTTTAAAAAAGAAGACTCAATCATACAATATTTGTCACAAAATGCAGTTACAAAATGGCAAGCAAAACTGGCAGAGTTGTGCAGGGGTCACATGCAATATCTAACCCTAGTCACTGGAACTCCTGTAACCACATTCCACACTGCAATGAATGTGCTAACAAGAGAAGGGACCTCATTTTCCTATCAACATTGAAGTCTTGCATGCTCTGAAGATGTGATATTATTGCACCAGAAGATGGAATTGAATAGAATATTTGAGAAATGAGAAGCAGTACCACATATTTTGCATTAAAACAGGTCATTCCTATCAATAGTGTTTCTGGAGTGCAAACAGGTGCTCTTGGAGAACTTCCATCTGACTAGTATACAGAATTAGTTGGAGCCACATCATGGCACACAAAATGTCAGTAAGAAACAACCTGTATGAGGTGAATGTTGTTGGAGGACAGATGAATAGGTTGAAATGCTTATTTTATGTTACTCTTAAACAACAGGAACATTCAGATATTGGAGGAGCAATGGAGGAATAAAGGTTGGCAGGAGACAGGTCTATATATTTGCATACACTTGAATGAATTAATACAAATATTTATTTGCATAGCAGAAAACATTACAAAAAGCAAAATACATAAAACAGAATCACATACCTTATACAGTTAAAATAATTATTAAAATCAGGCAATCTGTCAGGTAAGAGTTTGCTCTGTTGAAGAATGTAACTTATCTCTACAATTTTTCCTCCTTAAAATTGCTGCTCTAAAGGCAAAACAAGCTACTTTCTCAGAGGTGCAGAGTGACTTTTGTCCTTTCAGAATTTTTAGTTTTTCTTGCACTGCCAATTGACTTAAAATTTTCAAGAGTCTTCTTAACCCTTGTGTTTGAGACAATTGAATAGCACACACTTGAAAGACATTTACCCATCAGGTTTGGACTTTAACACCTTGGAAGTTGAGCAGAATTCAGGATGTTGTGCAGAAGTTCATCACAAGATATTCAGATTAGGTGCAAATCCATGAGAAAGAATTGGTTCAGATATACCCTAACACACATCTAGGGACACGGGTAGCACTGTGGTCTAAACCACTGAGCCTCTTGGGCTTGCTGATCGGAAGGTCGGCAGTTTGAATCCCCATGACAGGGTGAGCTCCCGTTGCTCTGTCCCAGCTTCTACCAACCTACCAGTGTAAGTAGATAAATAGGTACTACTGCGGCGGGAAGGTAAACAGTGTTCTGTCACACCAGAAGCGGTTTAGTCATGCTGGCCACATGATCCGGAAAGCTGTCTCCAAACAACCACTGGCTCCCTCAGCCTGAAAAGCGAGATAAGTGCTGCAACCCCATAGTCGCCTTTCACTGGACTTAAGCGTTCAGGGGTCATTTACCTTTTAGCTAACATGCACCTGCAAAGGTATTGAGAAGCTTATCTCATTCCATTTTGAGCACCTTATCAAATTTCCATTAGAGTGCTTAGTCCAACAGCAATGTTAAATACGTACATTCATTATTAATAAGAAATCAAAGTGATTGTGCTCAAATATATGTGTTGAGGACCTCAGATAAGAGTGGTAAATTTGCTCTTTGGACATACAATGCCGGTAGATATACCCATCAAGGGCATGAGAACATTGGCTGATATAATGTAGGTGGACTAATAGCTTGGATCTGTATAAGGTAGCTTTCTCTGTTCCTAAATGGCTGGCTGCCTCTACCCCTTCCATTTTGCCCCTGTAAATTTGCTGCTGTCACAGGAGAAGTTGGAAGGTACAAATTTCACTGTGTGGAGGAAATTGCACCTTTTTCCTGTTTTGTTTTCACTGCTTATTTTTCCACAACGTCTTCCGATGAACCCAGTAACCCATCACCCTTAAGGAAATGACAACTCCCAAAATAAGATTGATTCATTTCTTTTTGTGCAATTTCAGGTCCTTCCTGGCATCCCCCCCCCCATTTTTTCCTCTTCTTTTGAAATTTATGATGATTTGTGCTCATGTGCTGTTGAGGTGGTCACATGTGGTCCTGATTTTAATTATGTCTGCACGTGAAAAAAATTCTGGAGTGCCACAGTGCTTCATTTGCAAGCAGTGTATATTCTGAAATCGTATACACATACATATATAAATAGAATAAAACCACCACTAATGCACTGTTGTTGTGTCAATAATTTGTTGTGGAATACACCTGCAAGAAATGATGGCACCACATTTTCTTGTGTTTTTTGTCCCAGAGTCAGTTCTACTAAATCCTTTCATTTTTCTATCTTTTCATAGCAAAAGCTATTTTTACTGACCATACAGATCCCCGGAATCTCCAGCTAAAACCTTTCTCATGGTTAATCTAGCAGCTAAGTAAAAAGAAATGCAATCAACAGAACTTTCATAAAACCTACCTGCACCAAAACTATAGTTTCCCCTGAAAATATAAAACATTGATCGAGTTCATGTAAACTGGAGCAGGCCTGCATTTATTTATCGCTAGTAGATTATAGGGGAATCCTAGTGAAAAATCAGAACAGGAATTTCGAGCCTGGGTGTAGGAGGAAATTTGGCACCTGGAGGCTTGATGAAGACTGGAATCAAGGTTTGGGGGGAGAAGAATATTTCTAGGCATTCCTTGTCCTTGGCAGTACTTAACAACATTGGAAAGTAGCCTGTGGCTGCTCACTGAGACAATGTATATGTCATGTATTTCTGTTACACCCCTGTCGTAAACATATTTATTTGAAGTAAATCGTCTTGATTTAAATTGAAGTTATTCCCAAGGATGCAGCTTTTTCAAGCATCAGGGGCCTGGAGGTCATGGAAGATTGGGAAGCTAACGTTTGAAGCCAGAAGTCTAGCTTGATTGGTAAGGGCAGAATGGCTAAAATGAATGGCATGCATGGTTTTGACTGGAAAATAATAGGCTCCTGCCTTTGTTGTGGCTCTTTATTAACCTGAAAGTTAAATGTATGAGTCCTGACAATGAAGTTCAGATCTCCATAGCTCTTTAGCCTCCAAAGAATAAACAGCATGCCATAACAATATGCAAAATTACTGAGATTTTGATCAGACGGTCCAAATGAATCTCATTGTGTACCACTGATCCACTAACAATTCTGCCTGTATCTTAATCGCCTGCCCAGGAGGACTCCAGTCCTCCTGCTGAATCAGCATCTCCTTTGCTGGAACAGTATCCCCACAACTGTCTGGGAAAGTGCAAGAGATCATTCTGATTTTTAGTGGGCTCTCCAGAGCATAAACAGAGTTGTAAAGGGCTCCTTCAGTAGAGGCTTTGTGCTGGTTCTACTCCAATATTTTACTAATGGATCACTCTCCATGGAGCAGAAAAGGAAAAAGGAAAATGAAAGCAGGTATAGTGTTACAGACATCTTGCTTCTATGAAAGGTTCCTTTCAATCTTGCTTCCATCTTCTTGTTGCATCCTTGCCTGCTAGATAAAACTCTTTCCTTCCCCGCTGTGGGGTGTGTTTCTGTTTGTTGACTGCAGAACAGGGCAAGTCATGTGAGCAAAATGCTCAATAAGAACTCAAGAGCGTAGCCATAGCTGGTTTTGCTTCTAACCCCTCTCCCAACACTTTCCGCAGTAGGGAGTATCATAACACACCTTGCCTTCTGCCACAGGGATAAGGCAGGCGACCCAAATGCAAGAAGGGCAACACACATAAAGCATATATTCTGTGCTCCAGTCCTCAACCATGATATGTTTCATATACTCGATGACACTTAAGTTCAGGTCATTACAGGGAGGAGGGTTTTTGATTTGCTTTGCTTTGCTTTTGCTTTATTACATATTTTGTGTTGTCATTTTCTATTTATATGTTGTGAATTGCACTGTGATATTTGAATGAAGGGTGGTATACAAATTTAAATGATAAAAATAAGCTGTTTAATACAGAGTCAAGGGATGGAGGTGGCGCTGTGGGTTAAACCACAGAGCCTAGGACTTGCCGATCAGAAGGTCGGCGGTTCGAATCCCCACGACGGCGTGAGCTCCCGTTGCTCGGTCCTTGCTCCTGCCAACTTAGCAGTTTGAAAGCATGTCAAAGTGCAAGTAGATAAATAGGTACCGCTCTGGCGGCAAAGTAAACGACATTTCCGTGCACTGCTCTGGTTCACCAGAAGCGGCTTAGTCATGCTGGCCACATGACCCGGAAGCTGTACGCTGACTCCCTTGGCCAATAAAGTGAGATGAGCGCCACAACCCCAGAGTCGGCCACAACTGGGCCTAATGGTCAGGGGTCCCTTTACCTTTAATACAGAGTGAGACCACTGGTCCCTCTAGCTCAGCATAGCTTATGCTGACTGTCATCAGTTCTCCAGAATTTCAGACAGGAGATGAAACCAGAATACATTGCAACACATTCACTGACTTCATTGATATTTATATTTACACTATTATATGCTGGATGTATAACTTCCTCTTTCATTGTGTTTACAAAGCAAGGTGACTGTTCACTTCTCGTTTCCAAGTATGGGCTGGACTTTCTGTGATGAAATATGATCTTTAGATGATGGTGGGCACTTCTCAAGCAGCTATAAAATAACAGAGTTTCCCCCAACAAGCACCAGAAAAACTAGAGCAGCCCCCACTGGACAAGCAGGATGAAGTACCTTGCAGTTCTCTTCACCATTGTTGCTCTCTCCGAATGTCTTGTTAAGTAAGTTATTGTTTCGTTGCTGATATTTACTCTTCTGACAGCTACACTTTCTGATTAACTAATGAAGAGGAGAGGGAGTGTGAATTATAACTTCAAATCTTATATAATTTTTCAGATATAGACACATATATAAACACATACACACAGTTGAGAGGAGATTAGTAAATGTAAAATGGTCTTCTGGCTGCAGTTACAAGGGTAGAAGCACATAGACTCACTGAAGAAAGCATCACTAACGTCTAATTTGAGATGGAACAATATTTTGGGGCATTTGTGTGTGTGCTTTTTTTATCCCTTGCCTTCAGTAGCGTAGTAACAGGATGATGCTCAGCACCTGAAGCTCACCACAGCATGTCCGAAGTGACAAGAGCAAGTGGAATTGTCAAACTGTTCAGCAATTGAGGGCCCAATAGCACACTTTAAAGTGCTGCTGACACTAATTAAAACAAAAGGAGTCTTTAAAAAATGGGCTGCAAAGAATTCATTTTATGTCAGTCAAATATTAAACACCCTACACACCTACAGTTGCTTTTCTTTCAGCTATCTTCCTTAAATTAATTGAGAGATAAAGGAGATTATCATCCCTGTCATGCATTACAGCAGGAGCTGGGATCCTAGCGCTCCATATGTTGCTGGACTTGAACCCCCACCGTCCCTGACTATTTGCCTTGCTGGTTGGGGCTGATGGGACATGGAGCTCAACAACCTCTGGAGATCCACAGGCTTCTTTCCCCTGCATAAAAGCTGTTCAAATCCCACCCATTCTATGGAAAAGATGCATGAATGAATGTGTGCAAGATTATAGGCTATGTTACTATTTCTTGATGCTAAAAAAGACTTTGATTGCATTGAGTGGGTGCGAACTTTCAGTTCAATTTCCTAAGTGCTCCCCCCCCTTTTTTTGAGTAGCTTAGATCTAATAGTTAAGAGAGTTTAGATGTAGTGGTAAGATTAAACCTATTATTATGTTTGGAGTTATGGAGTGGAAAGACAGGTTGCAAAATAAGCAAATTTTAGGGAGACAGAAAATCCAAACCTAGTATTTTGTTTCTTATGTTCCAGGATTCCCTTGCAGAGAGGGACAAAAGTAAGAGACACTCTCAAGAAGAAAAATCTGCTGGAAGATCTTCTTCAGAAACACCGTTATGACATTGGTACAAAATACAACTCAGCTTTTTCTAAGGCTGCCCTGGTGGCTGAAGAACCACTTCTGAACTCCTTGGATGTGAGTTGATGCTTTGTTCTTATCAATTTGCTGTGCTGCTGAACAACATTTCCCCAAAGTTTTCATGATGCTCAGTTGAGATACTTCTTCATATTTCTCCTGACACCCAGAGGTAATCAACATAATACTGTGGTACCTCAGGTTACAAACACTTTGGGTTACAAACACTTTGTGTTATAAACACTTTGGGTTACAAACTCCGCAAACCCAAAAGTAGTACCTCGAGTTGTGAACTTTGCCCCAGGATGAGAACGGAAATTGCGTGTCGGCGGCACGGCAGCAGCGGGAGGCCCCATTAGCGAAAGCGCACCTCAGGTTAAGAACGGTTTCGGGTTAAAACGGACCTCTGGAACGAATTATGTTCGTAACCCGAGGTACCACGGTATGTTGCATGTACTTAGCACAGATTTACAGTGATTACCTTGCATATCTGCGAGGAAGTAAAATGTCCAAAAGCCTAAAAAGAAGGAAAGTTTTGCAAATTGTGTTTGTTTTATGAATTAACAGACTGAATACTATGGAACAATCTACATTGGAACCCCACCACAGAAGTTCACTGTTGTGTTTGACACTGGATCATCCAATCTCTGGGTACCCTCTGTCTATTGCAGTAGTCCAGCATGCCGTAAGTAACTGACTATAAAAAAGTCTTCAAGCATGTCACTCTGATATTAAAAATGACCTGGGAGGGCCTATGAAGTTGTGTAAAGGAATGGATTCATTATTTCACTCAGGTCATAATTCTATTTATCTATGAGTAGGGTTGATTGAACTCAGTGAGGCCAACTTCTAAATAAACATGTGTAGAATTGAAGGTGGGCTTGCAATCCTATACCCACTTACCTGGGAGTAAGCTCCTTCAGATTCAATTATGGGGCATGCTTCTGAGTAAAATTGTGTAAAACTTTAATCCAAATCATGTGGATTTGGTTTTGCAAAACTTAATTCCCATTTTTTTTGTCCACTATTATTTTTAGTAATGTGTACAAAAATGAAAATGCTAAAAAGAATATGCTTTTTTGAATATATGATTTTTTCTGCTAGATATTTTCCAAATGCCCTACACTTTACATTGTTCCAATAGTTTTCTTCAAGCAACCAAATTTATACTGTAGCCTTATATCTATAATTAAAAGCCATTTTTACATTAGTTAAACACTGTTTTCTTTTTCTTTTTAGAAAAGCACCAGAGGTTTAACCCATCTCAGTCTTCTACTTTTCAAAGCACTCGACAGACCATATCCATTCAGTATGGGACAGGAAGCATGCAAGGGTACTTGGGATATGATACAGTGAAGGTAATTCAACTCAGTTCAGTTGCATTACATGAGTACAGTACAAACTGCGAAGACAATGTTATAGGCATCTCTAGAACCAGTGCAATTCAGTCTCCTTGAATCCTGGAACTGGAAAGCAGTCTTTCCTTTAAAGATGTGTAGATGGATGCACATCAAGTAATTCAGAATCAAACTATCCAAATTATCCAAATAGTGTATATTTTTAATGGCCATTTAGAGAATCAGAGCCATGCAATATTAAAGCTGGAGTCCTTAAGTCATAGGATCCTAAAGTAAATTTCTGTGAAATACATGGGACTTCCTTCTGAATTAACAGATTGAAAAAGAGGGTGCAAGCCTGTTAAACAGAAGCAAACATTGATGAACGAATATAAGACACATGCCCTGTGGAAATTCTCTGACAAAAGGGAAGCCTCCCAGATGATCACTGTATGAGGGGTACATAGGAGACGTTATTGATTCATGTACAAAATGTCAAGACACAGTTGGTCATATAAAGAAGTTTCATCTTCAAGAAAAAAGCAAGTTTAAAAGAGCCACTACTTGCTCTGCACCTTTTTACAGATTAATCTTGTTCTATGGTTAAAAGAAAAAGAGAAATAAACCCTACCGGGTTTAGTTTGCTTGCATAGAACTGAAGCCTTAATACATCAGTAGTAAAAACCTGCTCTGCAGATCACAGCTTGACATGAAAGTAAAGGTCTACTCTGTTTCTCTCCTAGGTATCCGGTCTTGCCGTTTCAGATCAGCCATTTGGCTTGAGCAGCAGTGAGCCAGGCATCATATTTGTCTATTCTCAGTTTGATGGGATCCTGGGCTTAGGCTACCCAAACATTGCTGTTGATGGTGCGACTCCGGTCTTTGATAACATGGTGGAACAAGGCTTAGTTCAGCAAAACCTGTTTTCTGTTTATCTCAGCCGGTAAATAGTGTTTTTATCTCTTGGTAATATTATTTGTTTTGTATAGCTGGGAGGAATCATGTGCCTGATCTGACACAGCTTGTCTTTTGGCTATTGCTCTGGCTGTTGTGTTGTAAATCAGGCTGGCCAATCCTGTACTCTAAGTAAGATGGCTGCCACTGTGCTGTACTTGCATTGGTATAAGGCAGGGACCCCAGAAAATGATTGGCAGAGGGGGCTGGAAGCCCCCCTCAACTGGCCAGGGCGCCGAGCCCCTCCAGAGGTGAATGATCTATTGTTTTCAATGCTACTTGATGAAGAAGGAAAGGTCCATCCAGTTTTCTAGGACATAACTGCACCCTCTTGCTTGTTGTGCCTTGAGAGCAGAGTTTTGCTATGAAGAGAGGGGCCAAGCTCAGGGTGTTAATGTGGAAGAGAGGTAGATAGACAGAGTTAAGCAGGGAGAGAAGAGGCCAAGACTTCTGCTTCTAATTTTTTTACTATTCTATAATTTGTGAAATTGTAGAATAGATAATTAATTAATTAATTAATTAATTAATTAATTACTATCTCATCAGTAGAGTTAATATCCCTTTTTATTTCAATTGAACCACCTTGATATCCCTATAAAAACACTTATGGAGTCTTTGCTCCAAATCACAAACGTATTCCATCCGGAATAACTGGAGGGCATTATTGCAAAGATATTTCACCTATTTCTGAGGTAGAGGAGTCAACAAAAAGTGTCAATCTTTCCCCCTCACCATGTGTATAATATGCAGCCCAGATCTATATGTGTCAGCTTAGAAGACAGTGATACTCATGAGTTAGTGTGCACAGGACTGAAGTCTTGTGAAAGGAAGACTGGAATCTTCCAGGTGGTGACAATTCTAGTTCTTGTCCTCTTTCTGGCTGAGAACTACAAGGGTAACAGTGACACTAAGGAGGAGGAAACTGAAAGACATTATGAGATTATGAAGGGGAAATCAGTTTGTAATATATAGACCAGAGTTGCCATTATTATGATGTACTTGACAAGACTGGAGAACTGTATTAACAGAATTTGCCTTTTGAAATTCACTAATAGATACTTATTCACTGTGAGATATTATACACCTTCCTACTTTCTCTCTCTCTCTCTCTCTCTCTCTCTCTCTCTCTCTCTCTCTCAATGGGAATTGGGACAGAGGTACAGAAGTAAGTGACATTCACATTTTAAATGTGCAGTTTATCTTATTCTGAATGAATAGATTGCCAACAGCACACCATATATTTTTGTTTCAGAAAAACAAGTGGGAGCATGGTCATTTTTGGTGGAGTTGATCACTCTTACTTTACTGGTCCTATTAACTGGATTCCTGTCACTCAGCAAGGTTATTGGCAGATTGCAGTGGACAGGTAAGCATAAATTGCTGCTGCTGCTACTACTACTACTATTACTGCTACTACTACTACTACTACTACTACTACTACCTAAAAATATTAAATACAAAAAGAAAGGAAGAGATAGAGGACAATGAGATGTGAATACTAATGTTCAGTTTACTTTGTATTTGCTAGTTGGCAGTTAGGTCGAACTGACTAGTTATTATCATTATCTAGTTATATAGAATCCTCATTAACAGCACTTTTACAGAGTATAAGAGGACAGGTCTCTGCCCAGAACAGCTTGCAAGCTATAGTGCCTGTGGTCTTACTGCCTTCTACAATTTCCAATGATGTAATATCGGCTAACACAGGAGAGAACGTTTCCTTAATGAGAATGGAGAGCTACCTTAAGGCAGTTATGACATCCTGCTATCCATGTTGTTTTAAGTTCATGTTTGGGGGAAGGTCCATTGCTCAGTTGCAGAGCATTTTCATTTTGCATGCAGAAGGTTACAGGCTCAATCACTTCAAGTAGGGCTAGGAGGAAGACTTATCTGAAACACTGATGAGCCCCTGGTAGTCAGCTTGGAGTTTACTCAGTGAGATGGACTAATGGTCTATATATGGCAGTTTTGTATGTTCCATGTCTAAATCTAATGATTTCCAATTTCTCAGCATTCTAGTGAATGGTCAGACAGTCGCCTGCAGTGGTGGCTGTCAAGCAATTGTTGACACGGGGACGTCCCTCGTGGCTGGTCCGGCATATGAAATTAGCAAAATCCAAAATGCCATTGGAGCTACCGCAGCACAGTATGGCGAGGTAAGATTTACTCTCTCCCACCAATTCTCTTCACTTTGTGGCTGAAAAATACTCAAAAGCACCCTAGCACTCAGTACTCAAATCCTTAGCCAGAGTTCGGGTTTCAGATGTGCGCAACATAAGATGGTTAGGATTAGACTTGACCCCGGTTTCCTTCAGGACTACAGCTGCTGGCATCTCAGTCCCATGCTTCATGTTTCTTCATGATACTGCAGAGGCACACAAATGTGCAGAAGCATAAGGAAATACGGTGTGTAAGACTGGAGTGGTAGCGTCCCTTGTGAGCATGTATAGGGAATGCAGAAGGAAGAGACAATGGCAATGGCAGGAAAAGGAAACAAGCTGAGGTTTGGCTGAGCCTGGGTGACATCCAGGGAAAGAAACAGCTCCAGTGGGCCTAATACTGAATTCACAAAGATAGCTGAAAGGATGGCATTCATTCAAAAAGGCTTGTTGACTCTTGGTAAATTGCCCTCTGTTGTTAGATCCTGATGTAATGAGAGGTTGATCTGTGAAATCTTCTATCTGACTGGAATTTCACATGTGACCTTGCCTTTATCATATGACAAGGGTAACCTGAGAATGTCCTATGAGTTTATTGGACTGTTGTGTGTTCTGAGAAGGGTTTGCAATTTATGTAAGGTGACCAGATGCAGAATTGGACAGGGCTCTTGCACCTTTTATAGTTGTGTAGAAGAGGGATTTTCAGTAGGTGTAAGCTTGCAAGACAGGCTAAGACATTTGCTCTTTTACACAACTATGAAAGGTGCAAGAGTCCTGTCCAGTTCTGGATCTGACCACACTACCCGCAGAGAGAGAGAAAGAGACCTTACTGTCATTAATTTGTACTATTGTCTCTCTTCAAAATATCCTGACTGATAATTGTGAAAAGGGGTTCTTTCCCTCAAACAGTGTTCTTCAGCACAGAGCATACATAGGCATTCATTACTTCAGCATGCAAATAGCTCCACCTTCTGAATGAAGAATCTAGACTCAGACCAGAGTTTAAAATGCAGTGCTGTATTATCTGAATTGGTTGGGGCACATGGTTGTTATGTATGAAGATTAGATGAGAAGTTTTAGGTTGATTCACTTGTAGTCTTCAGTGAGTTGCTTTGCTTTTATGTCACAATGTTCCGCTCAGGCCTGTGGGTTATACCAGATGCTTATCTGAGTGAAGTCCAGAAGTTTCAGAATTTCACTTAAAGTGGAAGGTGTGGTTTCCTGAGGCAGACTTTGTGGGTGGGGGGAACCACTGCATTTCTTGAGCAAACCTGAGGTTTGCATGTTCATTTCCTTCAGAATAACTCAACACTCCTGCTTATCTTTTTCAGTATAAAATCAACTGCGGTAACCTCCCCAATATGCCTAATGTTGTTTTTGTAATCAATGGAATCCAGTATCCTCTCACCCCTTCAGCCTATACTAATCAGGTACAAAACAGATTTGTATTTACTGAATTAGGGAATTGTATTTACTCATCAGGAGTGCAAGTTCAAAAGGGTTTGGGGGTTTATCAGCAGGGCAAAATCTTTATGAACAAATGGGCTGCAAACCGGAAAAAGGAAAGAAATCTTTGGGAAGAAATATTATTAGATATACAGACACTATCAGAAGAGCTGGGTTGATACCTGTGTATCTCACGAAAAAACCGGTCAACCCAGGTACAGAAGATGACTCTGTCCTGTCAAGGATCAAGAGACTCTCCATCAACATAGTTTCGTGACTGTTGATATTGTATCTCTGACCACAGATGATTCCCATTCTGGGAAAGGTGCCCCACTAAGGTGGAAGACCTGGGTGCCCGATCATTCCCAGGAGGACTCACATTACACCTTCCACCAAAAATAGCCTCCTGAGATCATGCTATAAATACAGTGGTCAAATGCTACAAGTTATTTGTTTTGCTGTTGCAGAGATGGCTGAATGTGGAAATATGCTCTGTTTTTCTCCCCTTGTTTCCTCTTATCAGATATTGTACAATCCAGAGAATTTCAAAATCTCACTCCCCGCGTTATCCTATTTCCCAATGTATCAAGTTTAACCTTGGAAACGCAATGCAAGAAAAAGGGCCCCTTTGCACCCACTGCCCCTGACTGCTCCATGTATAATAGCTCCTCCATTTCCACACCAAAGGCTTGAAGGCAAAGCATTGCCCTAAAGCATTGATAGGGAACCTGTGGCCCTCCCAATAAGGTATGGCCCCAGCTCCCAACATATCGGACCATTAGTCATGCTGTCTGGGGTTGATGAGAGTTGGGAGTCTAACAATTTCCCCACTCCATCTGAAAGGGGGAAAAAGAAAATAACCTAGATACAGCAGCAACATAACATAATACGAACCCTAGCATACAATATGTTTTCAATATAGGATGCCTGGCAGATTGATTCTATGATTGTGCTGTGCCTGGTAGTTGCCACTTGCATTGGCTTGCATCCCATCCTTTGATGTAGCAGAGGCAGGTGGGAGGAAGCAAGTAGCACTTAATAGAATAATAGAATCACAGAATTGGTAGCAACCCCCAAGGATCATCTAGTCCAACCCCCTGCAATGCAGGAATCAATGCGCTTTTCTTGGGCCCTCCACTGACTCCACAGGGAAGGGCCGTAGCTCAGGGCTGGAGCATCTACATTGCATGCTAAAGGCCCCAGTTTCAATTTGGGGCATCTTCCATTTGTGGCATTTCCGAAACCCTGAAGAATTGCTACCAGCCAGTGTATACAATAATAAGTTGGATGGAGCAATGGTCTGTCTCAGTATAAGGCAGCTCCCTATCTTCCTATGACTTCAATGGAAGTACCCCCCCCCCTTTAGACAACTTCTTTTGCAGGCATATTGTCACATTCTGTTGTCATCCAACTAAGCTCTTCTCCCTATCAAATGCACTCCCCACCCCCTTGTGGTGGTTGTGATGTCAACCAGGAATAAGGTTAATGTCAGTGCAGCAGTGCAAATTCGCCACACTGGCACGACCTTTTCCCTATACAAATTCCAAGGATAGGATTGCATTTCCATTCAATGATTGTTTCCAACAGAGCAGAACAAAAGCAATGTCAGAATCATGATTTCCTATAACTTTTAAATACTACCCATACTTGTACAATTTGCTTATTTGAATTGATTAGGATATCAAATTATTTATTGATAGAGTGAGTACATAATGTGCACCATTGTCTCTTTTGTTGTTGAATTTGTGTTATTTCTCTCCATTTCTTTTGAGACTTTTTCAGAGAATATCCTGCAACTTCCTTTTTTAAATGTTGGAATGTTACCCTAAGCATTTTTTACCTAGATGGGTATTTATGTAGAATAACCCCTATCTGATGGCTGTCCTTTTCTTCCCTTCTAGATAATGCAAGCAGAATGCACTAGCGGTTTCCAAAACACAGCTGGGGACCTCTGGATCCTAGGAGATGTGTTCATCAGGGAATATTACAGTATTTTTGACCGGGAGAACAACCGAGTTGGACTGGCAAAGGCAGTCTAGAATAACTGTGCTTTTAAACAACAGCATGGGCTGTAATTGCTCATCTAATCAACTTACTCAGATTGCATCTTAACTTCATAGCTATTTATTTGAGCAAATAGCAGCGACTCCAGCTATGTACTTTTAAAAGTAATATCTATCTAATGTCTTTAAAGAACCTGCAAATGATAGCACTGTTATGCCATATATGATCTGAAAATGGTGAATTTCAAATTAATAAACTGTCCTAAAGCTAAGTTTTTTTTGTTAGCGATTTCTGTGTAAAAGCCTATAGTTAATGTGAGTCAGGGGTGCCTATTTGAATAAAATAGGGGGGCAGGTAAGCCCCACCCTGCATAATCAATCACATGATGCAGTGTGCACACACTATTTGAATGGCAATGACCATAAATGGTGGGGGAGCTCAAATATTTTATTGGGGGACCAAAGGGACCTCAGTGCCTAGGAGTGAAGTTGGGGTGCTGCTTCAGAGGTCAGCAAGCAGAGTAGGGGAGGGGAAAGGCAAGGGCCAAGGGCCCACTCTCAGAATCACTCCAGTGTAAGTTATACAGAGAAAAAACACACCAATATACTTTATTTGTTGTTATTTCTTTTCTTTTTTATAGCTTATAAATATAAATTACTGTGCAATAAAACAATGCACAGAATTGGAGTGACCAGAAATATAGGAGCTCCTAATTCAGGAATGGGGAACCTGTGCCCCCCCCATAAGTGAGTTGCAGTCCAGCAACACCCGAAGAACCACAGGTTCACCATCCTATTCCTAACTGATCATCACATTTTGCCCTAAACTGGGTGGAGAGGATACAACTGTGTCACCTTGCTGCCCTGATAGTTTCAGGTGATTCCAAATTTAGTTATCCTTAGAGCCACCTTGTTAGGCAGGCAAGAACAGTTTGAAAAGTGAGTGTATAACCATTTGGATTAATTGAAATACAACCATATCTGGATCCTGTACTGAAAACATCTTTTCTCCAGAAAGCTTCACCACCAGGGATGGGCAAATCCACCCATTTAGCTTTCTCCCAGTTTCTTCCTTTTCCAGCCTTAACTTCAGTTCTCCACATTTCCAGAATTTAAAAAAAGTCTTCATGAAAATTCACATAATTTTAGTTCTAATGTCTCCTAATATGCAGGTTTGCATGCCATTTTGCCAAATAGGCATATTTTTCCAAAGCAAAAGTGCGTTTTTGTTTGTTATTTTCACCAATACATTACCCTGGTATGTGGGTTTTATTTTTTTGCACCCATTGTTTTGCAGGAGAATTGTCCTGCAAAATTTGGAAAAGTCCAAATCCTGAAAGGTGGCTGCATTTTGGCATTTGTTGGGTGGCCTTTCAGTGTGAACAGAATCGAATTTCTCCCCCAACTCTGCTCACCACTTCATGTGCATTTGTACTGGCAAACCCACAGCTGGCATGGCATGCTGAAAGAGTGACAGAAATTGCTCAATAAATAAGCACCTAGGTTTCTGTGCATCCTGTTTTGCACAGCTTTTCCCCAAGAGCCCATCACACAGGCAAGATACTGGGCAAAACCTTGCCTTGTATTTTGCTGCAAAGGCACCCCGTGCTTATTGGGTGTGGAGCGAGGCATGCAAGATTAATATTAACCAAACAGAGCTTTAAATTTTTAGAGGCTTTTTCTTAAAAAAAATATATAGAAGAAACAACTAAATTTCAAAAGAAAAATCTAAACCACTAAAATATATTGTAAGTTGCCCACTCACCCCCTCCCCATAAGAAATTACTTTATACAGCAAATTATGATACTTTGGGAAGAAAAAATTAAAGTAGATCCAGTTGTGCCTTTCTAAAAGTAATAACTTTAAAGTGCCTGCAGGTGGAAGCATTGCTATGGCACAGACATTCTGAAAATTATGAATTTATGAAACTGGCTCAAAGCTTGGCTTTCTGTAGTGATTCATGTGCGGAAACCTATAGTTAATGTCAGCCTATAGTTAATGTCAATTAATTGGATGAATTGCTCATTAGATTGAGGGGACTGATCTTTGAAGTCCAAACACATTCCTCCACAGTCCTCATTTGCTTTTAAAGTTGTATCACACTTTTCAGGTTAACAACAAACCCAGCCCACACTCAAAGATAGCCACATTTGTTTATGTATCATTATTGTTACTTGTGTAGGTTTTTCGGTACAGACTTCATCAGTGCCAATAGGGTACTGTTGCTAAAGCACTATTGAACAGCCCTAGTCAAAGCCGTATGTCCTCTCCCCTGTGTTTGTTCAAACTTTGTTATGATCACACATTCTGTTATCTAAAAATGTAATGTGAATGTATTTGAGATATACAGTGTATTTTTTTAAAAGTTACAGAGAGATAATTCTGATAGCAGTAAGAAATGTTTTGAAAATCAGAGTATCCACAGTTCTGGATTCCTAGTACATTCAAAAGATGGGGGGTGGGGGTGGCTACCAAACCAGGAATAATTGCCTGGATATGAAAAATTCCTGTGGTCTGTGCAGCTTCATTTGAATTTTGGACGGCATTCAGTCCAGATTTCAGAACAGAGAAGCCTGCCTAGCTTTAGCATAGAAATTTATTAGCAACTTCCACCTTTAAAAAGCAAATATAGGAATTTAACTGAAAGAACCACACTGTAAGGGAAGAGGTTTTTATAATATTCATGAAGACCTACCACTCTCATAAGAAGTGTCCCTTTTTAGAACTGTATCTGATAATATCGGAGCACATCAACGGTTTCATGAAATGGATGGATCAGAGTCTGGTGTCTAGACTGTATAGTATGCTAATCTTAATAGATATGGGTACATCTGATGGTCTAAGTCAGATGTGGGAAGCCTACTGTCACTATTAATAAAGAGGTCTGGGCATCACTGTGGGGAAATTTCCTTTTAAATCTGTCTCAACCTCAATGAAAGATAGCACTTAAAATATTGCAAAGATGGTATCTCACGCCTATATGTTTAGCCCATATTAGGTTGTCTTATTCACCAAACTGTTAGAGAGGATATGGCCCGTTTGGCTCTAATCAACATACATGGTGGACATGTGGGGAAGTGGTTCAGTTTGGGGGCCAAATATTTGTCAAAATAAAAGCAATTACTGGACAATATGTCCAGAGTTTCTGCTGTTCCATCTTTCCACACAAGATAATACTAACTTACAGTTCAAACCCTTAATAGGTTCCATTTTGCTAGAGGACAGGCTTGTAATAAGGAGACACTGGAAGAATGTGGAGATTATCTCTTTGACAAATTGTTACAATCAAGTATGGCAGATAGCAATTGTGGAAAAACTGACTAATAAAATGAAATTGGCACAAGGCTTGAAGCATAACGACTCTCTTGCAATGTATTCTGCTGTATCATTAATATATATATTAATATATCACATAAATAAAACTATGCAGTCGTACCTTGGCTCCCGAATGCCTTGGAAGTCAAAAGTTCTGGCTCCCGAACAATCGAAAACTGGAAGTGAGTGTTCCAGTTTTCAAACGTTCTTTTGGAAGCTGAACATCCAACAGGGCTTCTGCAGCTTCTGATTGGCTGCAGGAGCTTCCTGCAACCAATCAGAAGCCACGCTTTGGAACGTTTCATAAGTCGAACGGACTTCTGGAATGGATTCTGTTTGACTTCTGAGGTACGACTGTACAAAAAAAACAAAACCATTAAGAGGCAAGAAATAAAAACAGAGGACTTTCCACACATTAGAAAATGTTTTGACTCATATAAGCTGTATATTGCCTTCTATACAGATGCTTGTCAGGACCTGAACTAATTGTGTTATTTAAGAGAAATAAACATTTTTAATGGAAAAAAACAGTTTCATAAAATTTTGGCTCTCTAAAATACTTCTGTAACAGAGCACTCCAACTTTCTCTGCACTGGGCTTGTGGGGAGAGTGAATGGATTAGGTGGACATGTTCTTTCACCCAAGCCCAGGCTGGTGCGGTGAACTGCCTGTCCCCCCACCTTCTGCTCTGGCTGCTAGCTGCCAGGAGTGGGTGTCAAAAGCAGGTCAACAATAAATCACGGGTCACGTGGCCAGCGTGACGAAGCTGCTCTGGCGAGCCAGCACCAGCGCAGCACACGGAAACGCCGTTTACCTTCCCGCTATAAAGTGGTACCTATTTATCTACTTGCACTTAGGGGTGCTTTCGAACTGCTAGGTGGGCAGGAGCTGGGACCGAAAGACGGGAGCTCACCCCGCCGCGGGGATTCGAACCGCTGACCATGCGATCGGCAAGCCCTAGGCGCTGAGGTTTTACCCACAGCGCCACCCGTGTCCCTTATCACACAGAGTAAGTGAAGTTAATTCTTTACTAGAAGAAACAAGGTCTGCTCAAGAGTACCAGGCCTAGTGAGCACAGCAGCTCTTCTCAACTGATCTTGCCCCTATGAGGCAGTTGTGGGGACTGCAGGTCTTCGCCTTCCCACAGCTGCCTAAGTCTCCGCCTCTCCCAGGTCCCTCCCAAGGAATCTGAGATTCCACTGGTGCACCTATCTTTGCTCCTCTTTCTTCATACCTCTTCTAGTTCTGGGAGATTAGGAGGGAGGGTAGCTTGTCGCAGCAGGAGTGGGAGACATCCTGGCTTCGTCACAAGCCTGACTCATCCCTGCCTCTTGGCCTCCCTCCTCTCCTGTTTCTGCTTCCGCATTTCTCTCTGCCACAGACTCTCCCTGCTCAGTAAATTATTATACTTTGGAAGAAAAAATAAATAAAGTAAAAATGGAAAGATGGGAATTCTTAAAACTAGCTTTTTCCAGATGAATATATGCAAGAATGATCAGTATCTTATCCAGTATAAGCTTTTTTTGGTTTCAACATCTTCCTATAGCAGCTACTGAGGAAACAGTGAGAATGTGGCAATGTTTGAGAAATGAATTCCTATGGCCTAATTAAAAAAATCAGTAATTAAATCTAGGCCTTGAGGTCATTAAATGAGTTCAAAAAATTCATACTGTATAAACTAAAGTAAGGCAGTGTAAAAGTTATCAAATTATGAGGAACTTGGGAAACAACAATTAACTATCATTCATTTACATTTTTATGAGAAAATATGGCTTCACTGCAAATGGCCCTCCTATTTGGTAACAGTAATTATCAAAGGATCTAAATTTCAAATTATTATTTGGTATAAAGGGAATTGCTATTAATTGTCAAGAATGCAATCAGTTGCTATTGTTACAGGGGGGTTTTCCCCTCCAGGGTTGGCCCAAGACATTTTGGCACCTGAGGCGAGCAAAAACATGGCACCCTACCCACTGCCAGGGAAGAGGGGGCAGAAGGGGCCTGGTCTGAATCATGTTGGGTGGATGCAAAACCTAGGAGACTCAAGATGGCAGCCTCCACCATTTCCTTCCTGGGGTAAGAGGAGACGAGTAGTTCCTCCAAGCAGATCTGGCCTCCACAGATCACATGGCAATAGCAGCAACAGCAGGTGATGTATTCCTTGGAACTTTAGCAGTTGCAGGCACTTCACTTCAAATGTCAATGATGGCAGTAGCTGACTAAGTTGTATTAAAAGCAGTGTTGTCATACTGGATAAATTCTCAAAAAAGGACCACCCCGGTATGAGGAAAAGCCACAGAATTCCACTGCAAGCAAGACAACTTCGCAAAGACAACAAGCATGCAAACTTTGGGTTTGTTTGGTGCTCAGTTCACCTGTATGAATTGCTCCAACATTAAAAATAATATTAAATTATTATTACATGATTTTAATAATTATAAAAATTATTATTAAAATAATTGTTTTGCTCAATTATTATTTGTCTGGACTGGTTGAAGACCACTGGACTACACTGACTGTCAGTGAGTCTCCAGGGTGTCAAACAGGAGTTGGAAATAGAATGCAAGGCAACATATTCAATGGAATTGTTTATATTTACAGTGGTATACGCCAGGCATCCCCAACCTTTGGCCCTCCAGATGTTTTGGCCTACAACTCCTATGATCCCTAGCTAACAGGACCAATGGTCAGGGATGATGAGAATTGTAGTCCAAAACATCTGGAGGGCCAAAGGTTGGGGATGCCTGGTATATGCTGAAATCTTATGTATGATTTCCACATATTTGCAAAGAAATGTGACTGATCAGTTCTGGTTTCCTGGAATGGGCTGGACTTTCTGTGATGAAATATGACCACCTGTTCTTTAGAAAGTGGTGGTTACTTCTCAAGCAGCTATAAAATAATGGAGTTTCTAGAACAATTAGCAGAGAAACTGGTGCAGCCTCTGCTGAACTAGCAGGATGAAGTGCCTTGCAATTCTCTTCACCTTTGTTGCTCTCTCTGAATGTCTTGTTAAGTAAGTGATCATTAAGTTGCTAATATTTACTTTACAGCTGTGCTTTCCGATTAATTAATAAAGCAAGGGAAGAGAGAGAGGGGATGTGAATTCCATCTTCAGAACTAATAACACATCTATAGGTGTGGGTTTTGTTTTTGTTTTGTGTGTGTGTGTGTGTGTGTGTGTGTGTGTGTGTGTACACACTTAACTGACTGTTAGTGGAAAGCAATATGTTGTAGGAGCCAAAAGTGCTGCAGGACATAGATTGGAAAAAGTGGCCAACTTCTAACTGTTTTTAAAATTAACTATTGAAATATTGATTTTCTTGTCATTTTAGGATCTTCAGATTTTTTTAATCAATGATATGATATAATGTTAATTTTCTAAATTTAAAGAATGTAGATTTTACTAAGAAAAAGTGACTAATCTCTAACTAGAGACAGGGCAATATTTTTGGTTCAGCTCTTTTGAGTTGCATGTGTGTGTGTGTGTGTGTGTGTGTGTGTGTGTGTGTGTTATATTTTCTAACCCAATATGTCACATTGCCTTTGCTAGCCCTCTAGCAGGGTGATGCTCATGTCTGAAGAGACAAAAGAAGGTGGAACTGCCAAACTGTTATTGGCATTCAACTATTTGAAGGTACAATAGCATGCTTTAAACTGCTGCTCACAGTAATTGAAACAAAAAGGCATCTCAAGAATTCATTTTATCTCAGTAAAATGCTAAACACCCACAGATCTACAGGTTTTTCTTTTCTTTTGGCTAACTTCCTTAAAATTATTGAGAGATGAAGCAGATCCATATGTGTTTCTCCCTTCTATTGCAGATGGGATGGGAAAGTTGTAGTTCTCCTTACGTTGCCAGAATTCAACAACATCTGGAGATCTACAGGTTCTCTAATCCCAAATTACACCTGTTCAAATCCTGTTGAAGTCAATGGAGAAGAAGCATGAATGACTGTGTGCAACATTGCAATCTATATTAGTCTTTAGGCTGAGAACGACTTTGGTCATGTTGAGTAGATGTGACCTTTAAGTTTCATTTCCTACATGCCTTAATTTTGGAAATGCTTAGACCTGGTAGTTGAGAATGTTTGGATGTGGTGATGGCATTAAACCTATTAATTATGAAAGGCTGATTTCAAAATAAGCACATTTACAGGAGCAGAAAAGAATCCAAGCATAATCATTCATTTATTTTGTACCAGGATTCCATTGCAGAGAGAGAAGACGCGAAGAGGGATGCTCAGGGAGGAAAACTTGCTAGAAAGTTTTCAGAAAACCCATCATGACATTGATACAGAATATATCACAGCCTTTTCTAAACGTGGCCGATTTAAGAAACCACTTAAGAACCTCTGGGATGTGAGTCTGCTTTGCTTTTATCAATTTGCTGTGCCATTGAGCAAATTTTCACCAATGTTTTCCTGATGTTTGATTGAAATACCTCATATTTCTCCTGACACCCAGGGGGTGTCAACATAATCAGTTAAGCAAATCACACCCATCATTCATTCCCACTGAAAGCATGGAAAGGGGATTTAGCCATGGCTAGATCAAAGCCCCATTTATTTCTATGGGACGAGTTGCTGGATTGCCCCCAGTTAAGCACTATCCAAAGTTAAGCACTTTGGAACCCCATTGAAATCCCATTGGCCAGATGCAAAAGAGTTCTTGCATCTGTAATATCTGTAGTGGTGTAGAATACAGTGCTTCAACAAGAGTGGTTTGTTGTCTTGCAAGCTTCCACTTGCTCAGAGTCTCTTTGCTAAAGACCCTTAAAGGTTTGTCAGCCCTGCCAGCTAAATCAGGTGAGGGGAGCCAATGGGTGTGAGACCCTTGGTGAGTTGGGAACGTCCTCTGCATGAAAAGACAGGCTCTGGTGGATTGAGCGGATGAGACCAATAGTGGGTGGAACTGTCAAGAAAGCGGTTTCTGCATATGCTGTAGAACAGGGGTTGTCAACCATCCACTAGTGGGTGTTTCAGGATTCTGGGTGGGCGGTAGGGGCACAAGCTGAATCCTCATTCCACCGAGCACTGATGAGCAGTAAGGAAATTTTTACCACCAAGAAAGATGCATTAGTGGATGGTAGGTATGAAAAGGTTGACTACCCCTGCTGTAGAGGGAAGTGAGGGGCAGATGGGGCTTGTTAACTTGGGAATGTAGCCCATCTAGGAGAAGGAAAACTCAGATTCTAAACCTCTGCTGCCTCTGATTCTAAGTCTTTTCAAGAGAAGAAAAGGCTAAGGATTAAGTGAGATAAACGGTGTTTATTGCCCATGCACAGATATACATGGGAAGGGATGTCAGCTCTACTGCTGCATCTTTCAAGTTTCAAGAATTTATACTGTTTATTTTTCACTTATTTGAACAAGGTCCTTTCCACATGACCCTATGAAAGACTGTGATTTATTTCTGCCTCTCCCCCACCTCACCTCTTAGTTAAGTACTCAGATTTACAGGATTATCTTGCATAAGTATGAGGAACTAAAATGTAAAGCCAAAAGAGAGAGGCAGGGTAGTGCTGCAATGCATATTTGTTTTATAAATCTACAGCTGACATACTATGGAACTATCTACATTGGAACCCCACCACAGCCATTCAAGGTTCTGTTTGACACTGGATCATCCCCTCTCTGGGTGCCATCTATCTCTTGCAAGGACAAAGCATACAGTAAGTAACTGAGAATGTCCAAGTGTTTAAGCATGTTAGCCAGGTATACAAAAGGAAGGAAACGAAGTGGCATAAAGGAAAGAGTTCATTATATCATAACCAGTCTGGTTGAGGCCTTAATTCTATCTGCCTAAAAGTAAGACTCATTGAATGCAATGGGACTTCTAAATAAATATACATAGTCTGCAATCCTATATGCTCACTTATCTGGGAGAAATTAAACTCAATTATAGAAGTTACTCCTGAGTAAACACGTACTAGAGTACACAATAAATCAAGTAGATTTGGTTTTGTAAAACCAAGTTTCCATCATTGTGCACAGTCATTTTTAGTGACGGGTACAAAATGACAATGCTAAAACAATGTGGTTCTTTGTAATATATATGATGGAAGGAGAGACAGAGCTGGCCCACCCATGAGGCAGCGTATGGTAGCTACCCCGGGCAGCAGAAGCAGAAGAGGTGGCACCCGTGGGTGTCCTGTTGGCCGGCACCAGCAGCAGCACCAGTTTCCAGTGAGATCCCATGAGATCTCATGGAGCATGCAAGATCTGGCAAGATTTCGGTGAGATCTTGCTAAATATCACTGGAACCAGCTGTCCTCAGTGCCCCCACACAACCCAAGTAAGGGTGGCAGTGGAGGAGGGGTGGGGTGGGGAGGCAGGGTAGTAGAGTGGGGGCACATCCCATTATGCTTTAAGTGGCAAAACAGGACACTCCACTGCTGGAGAGAGAAATCTCAGTTTTCAATGATCAGGGTTAGGTCAAATTTCCTTAGTAAAATAATAATACGTCCTAGCTCCTGTTATCTATAATAATTTAATAATTATAATAATAATTTATTATTTATACCCCACCCATCTGGCTGAGTTTCCCCAGCCACTCTAAATGTTTCCCTAGTGTTTTCCAATGTCCTTTTATTACAATTTTTCTCTTCAGAAAATTTATACCTTCAGTTTGTTTCTGCTATCGATCACTGATTAAAAACTGTTTTTATATTAATTAATTAAATTCTATATTCTTTTTACTTTTAGTAAGACACCACAGATTTGACCCACGTAAGTCTTCTACCTTCCACGGAACAGGACAGCCATTCTCTATTAAGTATGGGAAAGGAAGCGTGGAAGTGATCTTAGGACGTGATACAGTCAAGGTAAACTAATACAGTAGTATTTTATAGATACAGGACAAGTTGGGAATACAAACTTATAAATACTTAACTGTTCTGTGTATTTCCAAGGCCATTGCATCTCAATGTTTTTGAATCCTGGAAACTTTAAAACAGTAAAAACAGAATCAGCCCATTATATTACTTGGATATATTTATGTATATATTCATAGAATGGCTGCTCCTCAAGGAATTCAGAACACAGTATGTGGTAAGCAAGAAGTTGATTTTAAATTGTCATTGTCAGAATCAAAGTAGCACAAATTAAAGCTGCAGTACTAAGGTTATGCAATCCTGAAGTAAATATCAATGAAATTGATGAGACCAACCTCTGAATAAACAGGTTTAAAACTGGGACCTAAGTCGCTCTTGCCCACTCTCCATAGGAGCCAATTCCTATGGGCTATGGTCCCTTCATCCCCCGAATATTATCTGACGAGGGCCGCCACCCAAAGTTAATGGGCTTTGCCATTCAAATGGTGTGCATAGACTGTGTCTTGTGATCAATTATGCAGGATGGGACTTACCTGCCACCCCCAATATTTTATTACCTGCCACTATCCATGATACCTGAAGAAGTGTGCATGCACACGAAAGCTCATACCAAGAACTAACTTAGTTGGTCTTTAAGGTGCTACTGGAAGGAATTTTTTTGTTTTGATTTGTTGTGTGTACTTGGAGGATTCATAGAAGGAAAATGCACCTGAGATTATTTTACAGGTTGGCTATTGCTTTGCCTGCTGTACAATTCTGTCTGCCACTGTGCTTTGTTTGCACAGAGGTTGATGGGTAGAGGGGACTGGAACACCCATTCTCAAATTGGTCAGAATGCTAAGCTTCTCCAGAGATGAATAAGCTATTGTAGTCAAGGCTACTTGATGATGAAGAAGAAAAGGTCCCTCCGGTTTTCTAGTACCCAGCAGTCGACTGCACCCCCCTTGCAGCTTGTTCCTTGAGAGCAGAGCAGAGCGGGAGCCAAGCTCAGGTGAGCTAAGTGTTAATGTGGAAGAGAGGGAGGGAGACAGAGTTGAAGCAGAGAGTGAAGAGGCCAACCCCCCTGCTTCTAATTCTTGTACTATTCTGTAATGCATGGAAATACGGTACACACACACACACACACACACACACACATCCATGTAGCTACCTTCACTTATGATTTTAATTTAATACTTCTGGAGTCTTTGATCCAAATCACAATCCTACCTCATGCAGAATAATTGGAGGACTGTAATGCAAAGGCAAAGACCTTTTCACCTGACTATTTTGGGGAGTAGATCAATAACAATAAATCTCTCCATCACATTAGGTGGATAATATGCAACTCAACCTGTACATGTCAGCTCTACTGTTGAGTAAGTGTGCCCAGCACTGCACACTTAATTGTTTTGTGAAAGGAAGGTAGCAAGCCCTTCTAGGGCAGAAGGCAGGAAGGGAAGCAGTAGGTGGAAGTAGAGCCAAGCACAAATGAAGCGGGATAATTCTCCCTTTCTCCGCATTCTCCACCATAATGGCAGCAATGAGACTGACTAAAGCGAAGGAATCTGACAGACAGTGACACTCCCTGGACTGGGTGCAAGCAAGCAAGCAGGCAGGTGAAGGTAGGCTGGGGTTGGTGGAGTAGAATGGCCTCCACTGCCCCAAACTGGCTTGCTTAAAATCACAATGAAAACCAATTAGAAGAACAAAATGTATGAAGATTATGAAGCGGGAAGTCAGTGTGTGATATACAGAGCTGAACAGGAAGCATGGTGATATATAGAACAAGAAAGGAAAAGTACATGAACAGCATTCACCTTTCAAAATCTTAGAGCCTTCATTGTCCAGTGTTCACCAGTAGATACTGGTGCACTGCAAAAATTCCTTTCTCTTTCTCTCTCTCTCTGTCTGTCTAATTTGGACAGAGGTACAAGAACAAGGTACATTCACTCTTTTAATATGCAGTTTAGCTTATTCTGAATGAATGACTTGACAACAGCACACTATATATCTATGTTTCAGAAAAACAGATGGGAGCATGGTCATTTTTGGTGGAATTGATCAATCCTATTTTACTGGTCGTATTAACTGGATTCCTGTCATATATAAATATCAATGGCGGATTGCCGTGGACAGGTAAGCAGGAATTATTCTTATTAGTAGTATTAGCAACATTATTGTTAATCTTAACATATTGACTGGGTACAATAAAACCAAAAAGTTTTTCTGAATAATTTTAATGGCTACTAGTTAGCTAAACAGGAAGAGATGGAGGGCAATAAAATGTAAATACGAATGTGTGACTTACTCTGTGTTTTCTAGTTGTCCCTTGTTAGGATGACTTATATAGAACCGTTCTTGTAAATGGCATTAACAGAGTATATGATTGCAGGCCCTTGCCCTGAGCAGCTTACAATCTGTAGTTCATGTGTTTTGTTTTATGCCTTCTACAATTTCCAATGCAACTTCCTGAAAGTAATTATCACATTACTCTCCATTAAAAAACCAACAACCCATGTTTGGGGAAGGGCCCTACCTCAGTGGCAGATCAATTGCTTTGCAAACAGAAGGTCACAGGTTCCATAACTGATATCTTCAGGCAGTGCTATGAGAACTCCCTATCTGAAATCCTGGAGAGCTGCTCCATACAGTGTGGCTTTAAAATGTTTCATGTCAGAAACTAAAGAATATAATGATTTCCAATTTCTCAGCATTCTAGTGAATTCTAAGAAGATTGCCTGCAGAGATGGCTGTCAAGCAGTTCTTGACACAGGGACTTCCTTATTGCTTGGTCCAAAATCTGAAATTAACCAAATCCAGCAAGCCATTGGCAAGGTAAGATTGACTTTTGCTGATTTTCTTCATACTGTAGCTGAAAGAGGCCCTGTATCATCCATATCACTCTAGTGTCCACACTCCTTACTCTTTTAGATGGAGCTCCAGTTTCAGAGGCGCACAACCAAAGGTGGTGAGGATTAGGCACTGGTACAAATCCACATCCAAGGCCTTGTGGGGCCTCCCGAAGTGACTTTCAGGAGAAACCGGAAGTCATGTTGGAGGTTTTGCGAGACCTCAGACATGACCCTGGAGATTGCATTGGACATCATAATGTCAACACGTCATGTTACGTCGCAGGTTCCATTGGGCACCCATAATCTGGGGCCCAAGTCAGTGCCCCTGCCTCCTGGACTACAGCTGCTGGTACCTCAGCATTAGCCTTCATGGTTCTTCATGATACCTACTGCACATGCATGCAAATGTGAATGAGCATCCAAGCTACAACAATGGAAATGGCAGGAAAAGAAAATAAGCTGTGACATCCAGTAAAGGAAGGGGGAGAGAGAGAGCACTGCTGTTATTTCGTACTGTAGTCTGTCTGCAAAATACATTGGCTTTGTTTCTTCCAAACAATATCTCTCAACACAGATTGTACATCAGCCTGCCATCAGCACCCATTTGCATCATCTCCATTGCTTTAGACTGTGAAGTTTAGATGTGAAGTGTTGAGATGATTTATTTGTAATATTCAGCTAGATGGCGTGCTTCTGTGCTACAGTGTTCTACATTGTGCTGTTCAAACCTGTGAGTTACACTAGATGGTTATTAAGTTCTCACTTAAAGCGGTACGTTTGCTTTCCTGAGATTGGCTCAGGGACAAATCCACGACATTTCTTGAGCAAACTTGAGGTTTGCTGGTTCAATTCCTTCATGAACAGAATAATGTCCAAACTCAATTCTTTTCCTTATCTCTTTCAGCATTCCTTCAACTGCAGAAACCTCCGCAAAATGCCAAATGTTGTTTTTGTAATCAACGGAATTCAATATCCTTTGACTCCACAAGCCTATACTCGTAAGGCATATGATAGAACTGGAATATTATCTACTTGCCATAATAATGCAGGTTCAAACAGTTTGGGTCAGATTAGAAGTGCAAAATATTTACGAACACATGGGCTAAAGACAGGGGAAAAAGAAATACGTTTTGGGGCAGAAAGCCAATTAGATATCCTGAGACGGTCACAAGAGCTGGACCCAAACTTGCATGTCTTACAGAAAAAAGGCCAATGCAAATTCCCCACCAACATAGTTTCATGACAGTTTAGTATAGTATCTCTGACTACAGATGATTCCCATCCCAGGAAGGTTGCCTCTGACATGTTATATAACATGGGTGCCTGATGACCCCGAGAAGGACTTAAACCTTCCATCACATATAGCAACATATATACTGTATGCAGCTCTCAGGTGTGTTTGCTTGGCAGTTGCAGATATGGAAGAATTTTGAAACAAATAATGTTCTTTCTCCCCTCATTTCCTCTTGTAGTGATGACACAATCTAGAGAATTTTGAAATCTCACTCTCGGCACCATCTTAATACACCACATGTATCCCCGAAGAAAGGCTTCTATTGGCAGAGGGACACAGTGATCCTATCCTTTATAGCTAGCAGGAGAGGTGGAGCGAGGAGGAGATGGGAAATAAGTCTCTTGTGATCTCAATTGACTCCATAGGGAGGGGCCATAGCTTAGTGGTAGGGGATTTGCTTTGCAAATAGAAGTTCACAGCTTAAACCTCCAACATTTCCAAGTAGGCTTGGCAAAGATTCCTTGTCTGGAACTGATTCTATCATCATTAAGCCAGCATAATTCCAGGGATAAGATGGCATTTCCATGCAATTATTTCTTCCAACAGAGAGCAAAAAACATTTTGAATTATGGAGATTGCCTATAATTTTATAAATAGTTTGCTAACTTGTACAATTTGGTTGTTCATTATTAAGGTATTGTGCTAATTATTATAGACTGAATACAGAATTTACAACACTGTGTGCTATTACTATTGTCCTAGTGTTACATCTACAATATTTATCTCCTTTTGAGACTTTCCCCCCCTTCCTTCGCCTTCTTTTTGTTGGAATGTTACCTTATGCTAGGGTTTAAAATATGGAAACCCTTCCTTGTGCATTTTTACCTCGATTAATTTCTTGGTTGATATGGAAGTTGAATCACCCACATCTTAAGGATATCCTTTCCTTTCTTTCTAGGATAACGGCCATTGCAAGAGTGGCTTTAGCTCTGGCAGCAAAGATTATGATCACTTGATACTAGGAGATATGTTCCTCAGAGAATACTACAGTGTATTTGACAGGGGGAACAACCAAGTTGGACTGGCAAAGGCAGTGTAAAAATATTCCTGCATTTAAACTATGCAAGTGCTGTAGTTTCTCATTTAATCAACTAATGCCAATATCATTGTAACTTCAAAGCAATGTATTTGAGCTAATACTATCACTCAGTGTCCTATTAAAAATTATATTTGTCAGATGCCTTCAAAGAAGATGCAGATGGTAGCATTGTTGTGGCATATATGATCTGAAAATTATGTATTTCAAATTAGTAAACTGTTCCATGGCTAAGCTTTTGGATGTGATTGAATCTGAGGTGCCAACTTTGGTGAGGGGGGGGAGATTTAACTTTTGTAGGATCAACTCTGAAGAACTGATGAGTGCTGATAAGAAATGAAGTTCTTAGCCTAATAAACAAAATAAAAATGGACATATAACCGAGTCTACATGGCATCCACCCAAGTTCTCAGTGAATGAAAATGTGCAATCACTGATCTTCTAACAAAAATATGTTACTTGTCCCTAAGATCAGCCGCCATACACAAGACCTGGAAAGTAGACAATGTATCACAAGTTTTTAGGAAGGGATCCAGGGGGGCTCCTAGAAATAGCAGGCTGCTTACCATAACAATTCTCCAGGGAAAACTGGTGGTAAGTATTATTAAGGATAAAATGTTCAACGTTGGGGTGTCAAGTTAAATAAAATATTGGGGGAGGCAGGTAAGCCTCATGCCACATAATCAATCATAAGATGCTGTACACGAACACCAATTGAATGGCAATGACCATCAACTTTGGGGTCCACAGGTCCACTAAATATTTTATCGGGGGGGGGGGACCTCAGCCCCAAGGAGTTGGCTCTTATGAACCAAGCAAGGCTCCTCCAAGGGAAAGAGTTGTCTCACAAACCCTAGATAGAGATGATCTGGTCAAAAAAGCATACTTGGACATTCAAAAACCTTCTGACAAAGTTCCTCATCAGTGACTACTGATTAAGCTTGGCAGTCATAGGCTAAGAGGAGGGGTCCTCTTCTGCATCAGGAATTAGCTGGGAAGCAGGAAGGCAAGAGTAGGAATAAATGGACAGTTCCCCAAATAGAGATATGTAGAAAGTGACATTACAAAGTGACATTACAAAAAACAAACTACATAAACAGAATAAAATACTTTATACAGTTAAAATAATTTTTAAAACCATGCATTCTGTCAGATAAGAGTTTGTTCTCCTGAAGAAATTTTTCTCCTTAAAATTGCTGCTCTAAAGACAAAACAAGCCACTTTCTCAGAGGTGCAGAGTGACTTTTGTCCTTTCAGAATTTTTAGTTTTTCTTGCACTGCCAGTTGACTAAAATTTTTCAGAAGTCTTCTTAACCCTTGTTGTGTTTGAGACAATTGAATAGCACACACTTGAAAGACATTTACCCATCAGGTTTGGACTTTAACACCTTGAAAGTAGAGCAGAATTCAGGATGTTGTTCAGAAGATCATCACAGGACATTCAGATTAGGTGCAAATCCATGGGAAAAAATTGGTTCAGATATACCCTAAACCACTGAGCCTCTTGGGCTTGCTGATCAGAAGGTTGACAGTTCAAATTCACATGACGGGGTGAGCTCTCGTTGCTCTGTTCCAGATTCTGCCAACCTAGCAGTTCAAAATCATACCAGTACAAGCAAATAAATAGGTACTACTGAGGTGGAAAGGTAAACAGTGTTCTGTCACGCCAGAAGAGGTTTAGTCATGCTGGCCACATGATCCGGAAAGCTGTCTCCAGACAAACTCTGTCTCCCTCAGCCTGAAAAACGAGATGAGCGCTGCAACCCCCTAGTCGCCTTTGACTAGACTTAAGAGTTCAGACTTAACCTAACACACACCTGCAAAGTTATTGAGAACCTTATCTCATTCCATTTTGAGCAGCTTATCAAATTTCCATTAGAATGCTTAGTCCAATAGCAGTGTTAAATATGTACATTTGTTATTAATAAGACATCAAAGTGATTGTGCTCAAATATATGTGTTGAGGACCTCAGATAAGAGTGGTAAATTTGCTCTTTGGACATACAATGCCGGTAGATATACCCATCAAGGGCATGAGAACATTGGCTGATATAATGTAGGTGGACTAACAGTTGGATCTGTATAAGGTAGCTTTCTCTGTTCCTAAATGGCTGGTATATTACCCTTAAGGAAATGACAACTCCCAAAATAAGATTGATTCATTTCTTTTTGTGCAATTTCAGGTCCTTCCTGGCATCCTTTTCTCTTCTTTTTTCCCATTCATTATGATTTGTGCTCATGTGCTATTGTGGTGGTCACATGTGGTCATGATTTTAATTATGTTTGCATATGAAAAATTTCTGGAGTGTCACAGTGCTTCATTTGCAAGCAGTGCATATTCTGATATATATATTCCAGATTTCACGGTCCTTCCCCCGTTACCATTTGCTGATGGCCATGGGACTTTGGGGGTTTGGGTTTGGGATGGGGTTTTGGAAGAAGCCTGCGCGTGAATTTGTTTTATGTATGTAGATCAGTGCACGCTGACCAACACTCAGTCTTCACAGTAAGGCTCTATTTCGATGGCACAACGAGTGGTAGATTCTTATCTGCTGCAGCCTTCATCCACCTTCACAGCCATTGTAACATACCTTGCTATTTTCCACCTCTTCAGCTTCTGAGGACTTCTTGGATCATTCTTTGTCTAGATCCTCCCCTTTGACCTTACCGTCTTGGGTGACTCTGCTGGGAGTACGAGACTCCTGATGGCTTTGCTCACAAGGGTGATAGGAAGGTGCAAGCCCACTCGCCCCCGACAAGGTGACAATCCAGCGAGTGAGATATTTACCCTATTAAATGCTGAATACATGACTTCCTCTTAGGTATGATTTCATTGTGTTTACAAAGCAAGGTGACTGATTACTTCTCATATGGGCTGGACATTCTGTGATGAAATATGATCTTTAGATGATGGTGGGCACTTCTCAAGCAGCTATAAAATAACAGAGTTTCCCCCTAACAAGCACCAGAAAAACTAGAGCAGCCCCCACTGGACAAGCAGGATGAAGTACCTTGCAGTTCTCTTCACCATTGTTGCTCTCGCCGAATGTCTCGTTAAGTAAGTTATTGTTTTGTTGCTGATATTTACTCATCTGACAGCTACACTTTCTGATTAACTAATGAAGAGGAGAGAGAGTGTGAATTATAACTTCAAATCCTATATAATTTTTCATATATATATATATATATATATATATATATATATATCACATACACACAGCTGAGAGGAGATTAATAAATGCAAAATGGTCCTCTGGCCGCAGTTACAAGGGTAGAAGCACATAGACTCACTGAAAAAAGCATGGCTAACGTCTAATTTGAGATGGAACAATATTTTGGGGCATTTGTGTGTGTGCTTTTTTTAGCCCAGTAGGTCTCCTTGCCCTCAGTAGCGCAGTAACAGGATGATTCTCAGCACCTGAAGCTCACCACAGCATGTCCGAAGTGACAAGAGAAAGTGGAATTGTCAAACTGTTCAGCAATTGAGGGCCCAATAGCACACTTTGAAGTGCTGCTGACACTAATTGAAACAAAAGGAGTCTTAAAAAATGGGCTGCAAAGAATTCATTTTATGTCAGTCAAATATTAAACACCCTACACACCTACAGTTGTTGTTTTTTTCTTTTCAGCTATCTTCCTTAAATTAATTGAGAGATGAAGGAGATTATCATCCCTGTCATGCATTACAGCAGGAACTAGGATCCTAACACTCCATATGTTGCTAGACTTGAACCCCCACCATCCCTGACTATTTGTCGTGCTGCTTGGGGCTGATGGGACATGGAGCTCAACAACCTCTGGAGATCCACAGGCTTCTTTCCCCTGCATAAAAGCTGTTCAAATCCCACCCATTCTATGGAAAAGATGCATGAATGAATGTGTGCAAGATTATAGGCTATGTTACTATTTCTTGATGCTAAAAAAAGACTTTGATTGCATTGAGTGGATGCGGACTTTCACTTCAATTTCCTAAGTACCAAATTTTTGGAATAGCTTAGATCTAGTAGTTAAGAGAGTTTGGAAGGTGTGCAGGGCTGTAATTAGGGGGTGGCAAGGTGGGCCCCTACCAGGGATGCAGGCTGGGGGGGGCACAAAATTGGATAAAATATGTCCATAAATATGTCTATAAAAATATTGATTATTGCCTCATTAGAAAAGGTTTTAAATAGAGGGTGAATTGAAGGGGGGATGGAGGAGAGGTGGAAAGAAGAGCTAATTTGTCAGTGGCTAAGGGGCACAATCTGGACAGTTCTGCCAGGAGCGCAAGATTACCTAGCTATGGCTATGATGGGATGGTGATATTAAGCCTATTATTATGTTTGGAGTTATGGAGTGGAAAGACAGGTTGCAAAATAAGCAAATTTTAGGGAGACAGAAAATCCAAACCTAGTAATTTTGTTTCTTATGTTCCAGGATTCCCTTGCAGAGAGGGACGAAAGTAAGAGACACTCTCAAGGAGAAAAATCTGCTGGAAAATCTTCTTCAGAAATACCGTTATGACATTGGTATAAAATACAACTCAGATATTTCTAATGCTGCCCAGGTGGCTGAAGAACCACTTCTGAACTCTTTTGAGGTGAGTTGATGCTTTGCTCTTATCAATTTGCTGTGCTGCTGAACAACATTTCCTCAAAGTTTTCATGATGCTCAGTTGAGATACTTCTTCATATTTCTCCTGACACCCAGAGGTTATCGACATAATATGTTAGATGCAATTCAGCAAAACACAGCCACAACTCAATCACACAATGGACTTAGTTATGACTATCATAAAGCCCTGTTGTTTTCAACTTAAGAAGTTGCAACTAACTTTTGCTGGATTGTGGCCCATAGAGGAGTTGTGATCCAGTCAAAGTTAATTACATTGAAATCCTATCGATACCTAGGATAGCCAGATACAGTAGAGAAGAGGGTTCTTGCACCTTTAATAGTTGTGTAGAAGAGGGAATTTCAGCAGGCTGTGGCTTTTCATTCAAGTTCACAGATGCTGAGTGCCCCTTTATTACAACTATTCAAGGTGTGAGAACCGTGTTCTTTTTTGCATCTAGCCATCTTATTAAAGGGCAGAGCGGGAAAATGATGAAGCCAGGGTGTTGTGTAGGCCAGAAAAATAGTACTTTAGCTTGCTTTTTGTGGTGAACATTGTGAGAGTTCTTCTATGGCAATAAATGGTACTTACTTGTTTTTTAAAAAAATATTTATAATTTTCAATTATAACAAAAAGGAAAACATTTCACAAATCAATCAACAGTAATTCTGGCACTTTGAATCTTGACTTCCCTCCCCCTTTTTCTGTAGTTCCTTAAAATTGTTTTCATCTTTCCCTGCATATCCCAAATTATCTCAATCTATTCTTTTTAAAAAATCTGATATTATATATATTTTTAGAAACTGCAGGTTTTTACAATAGCACTTATTTGTTATGCACAGAAGTTATTTGAAGTGGGGAAAATGTCATTTCTTCTGCTATATTTCTCCTGTTCGTGAGTTATGTTAAAGCACATACTGCTTTTACATTATGTCGTTTATTATTTGTTTATTTGAACAATTCCCTTTTCACATTATCCCACTATTGACAGGAAATAAATTTCTGCTTTCTAACTATTTTTTTTTAAATGTAGCACTTAGATTTACAGTGATTGCCTTGCATATCTGTGAGGAAGTAAAATGTTCAAAAGCCTAAAAAGAAGGAAAGTTTTGCAAATTGTGTTTGTTTTATGAATAAAACAGACTGAATACTATGGAACAATCTACATTGGAACCCCACCACAGAAGTTCACTGTTGTGTTTGATACTGGATCATCCACTCTCTGGGTACCCTCTCTCTATTGCAGTAGTCAAGCATGCCGTAAGTAACTGACTATAAAAAAAGTCTTCAGGCATGTCACTCTGATATTAAAAATGACCTGGGAGGGCCTATGAAGTTGTGTAAAGGAATGGATTCATTATTTCACAATCCAGCATTGCAGACTCAGGTCATAATTCTATTTACATATGAGTAGGGTTGATTGAATTCAGTGATGCCAACGTCTAAATAAATATGTGTTGAATTTGCAATCCTATACCCATTTACCTGATGTGGGCTTGCAATCCTATACCCATTTACCTGATGTGTCATCAGTGTCCCCACACAGCCCAAGTAAGGGGGGCAGTGGAGGGGGTGGCAGGGTAGTAGAGTGGGGGCACATCCCATTATGCTTCAAATGGCAAAACAGGGCACTCCACTGCTGGAGAGAGAGATCTTAGTTTTCAGTGATCGGGTGTAATGATCTCAGGCAGGCAAACAAGCTCCAAAAAGAAGTAATGAGTTTCTTGGAAGATTTACAGTAGTTTACAATTAATACAGAGAGAGCAGCATGAGCCTGCCATTCTCAGCTACAAGGTGCTCAATCTGAGTCCCCACCTTGTACATAGCTGTCAACTTTCAGATTTGAAAATAAGGGATCAGCAACCTCACCTGTCCCGGGGACACTCTTTTGTTGTTTAGTCATTTAGTCGTGTCCGACTCTTTGTGACCCCATGGACCAGAGTACACCAGGCACTCCTGTCTTCCACTGCCTCCCGCAGTTTGGTCAAACTCATGCTGGTAGCTTTGAGAACACTGTCCAACCATCTCGTCCTCTGTCGTCCCCTTCTCCATCTTTCCCAGCATCAGGATATTTTCCAGGGAGTCTTCTCTTCTCATGAGGTGGCCAAAGTATTGGAGCCTCAGCTTCAGGATCTGTCCTTCCAGTGAGCACTCAGGGCTGATTTCCTTAAGAATGGATGCGTTTGATCTTCTTGCAGCCCATGGGACTCTCAAGAGTCTCCTCCAGCACCATAATTCAAAAGCATCAATTATTCGGCGAGATTAGTAAAAAAAAATTGTGTTTGGTGAGATTAGTAAAAAAAGTAATACATCCCAGCTCCTGTTATCTAAATGTTTCCCTAGTGTTTTCCAATGTCCTTTTATTACAATTATTCTCTTCAGAAAATTTATACCTTCAGTTTGTTTCTGCTATTCATCACTGATTAAAAGCTGTTTTTGTATTAATTAATTTCTGTTTCCTTTTTACCTTTAGAAACACACCATAGATTTGACCCACGTAAGTCTTCTACCTTCCAAGGAACAGGACAGCCATTCTCCATTAAGTATGGGAAAGGAAGCATGGAAGGGATCTTTGGACTTGATACAGTCAAGGTAAACGAATAGTATTTTATAGATACAGGACAAGTTGAGAATACAAGCTTATAAAAATATTGACTCTTCTGTGCATTTCCAAGGACGATACTTCTCAATGTTTTTGAATCCTGGAAAATTTAAAGCAGTAAAAACTGAATCAGCCCTTTATATTCTGTGGAGATATTTATGCACAGTATATATACATTGATGGCTGCTCCTCAAGGAATTCAGAACACAATATGTGGTAACCAATAAGTTTATTTTAAATTGTCGTTGTTACAGTCAAAGTAGTACAATTAAAGCTGCAGTACTAAGGTTATGCAATCCTGAAGTAAATATCAATGAAATTGATGAGACCTACCTCTGAATAAACAGGTTTAAAACTAGGACCTAATTTGCTCTTGCCCACTATCCATAGGAGCCAATTCTTATGGGCCATGGTCCCTTCATCCCCCAAATATTATATGACGGGGGCCGCCCCTCAAAGTTAATGGGCTTTGCCATTCAAATGGTGTGCATGGACTGTGTCTTGTGATCAATTATGCAGGATGGGACTTACCTGCCACCCCCAATATTTTCTTACCTGCCTCCATACAAGTTTGAATATTATTGTCTGAAAGGTCAAATGAGGTTTCCTTTCATGTTAACATGCACAGGATTGTAGCCTGAACGCAATGCTCATAGAAGCCTGCTCTGTACTTTACAACGTGATACAGAAGTAAGGGAAGACTGTGTTTTTCTCCTAGATATCTGATCTTACCATTTCCGATATGGAATTCGGCTTGAGTACCAGTGAGTCAGAAGACCCGTTTTCCAGAACTAAATATGATGGGATCCTCGGCTTAAACCCTTGGAAAAAAAGTTCATTCTTTGAGAACCTGATGAAGAAAGGCTTGCTTGAGAAAGACGAATTTTCTGTTTATCTCAGCGGGTAAACACTATTTTGCTTTACTGCTAAGAAGATTTGTTGCATGTTAATGGAGGACTCATGGAAGGAAACTGCACCCGAGATTACTTTACAGGTTGGCTAATGCTTTGCCTGCTGAATCTTGTAGAACAGGCTGTCTGCCACTGTGCTTTGTTTGCACAGAGGTTGATGGGTAGAGGGGACTGGAACCTCCATCCCAAAATTGGTCAGAATGCTAAGCCCCTCCAGGGATGAATAAGCTATTGTAGTCAAGGCTACTTGATGAAGAAGAAGAAAAGATCCCTCCAGTTTTCTAGTACCCAGCAGTCGACTGCACCATCTTGCTTGTTGTGCCTTGAGAGCAGAGCAGAGCAGGGGCCAAGCTCAGGTGAGCTAAGTGTTAATGTGGGAAGAGAGGGAGGTGGACAGACTTGAGGCAGAGAGTGAAGAGCTCAACCCCCCTGCTTCTTTTAATATTATTTAATGCATGGAAATACTGAATTAAAAAAATATTGTATTTCATCCTTTTCATTTTCATTTAATATTGTACCAACTTGAAACCTCCCCCAAAAAAACACTTTAGAGATTTGGAGTTTTTGCTCCAATTCACTATCCTACCCCATGCAGAATAACTGGAGGATAGTATCACAAAGACCATTTCACCTGACTATTTTGGGGGTAGATCAAGAACTGAAGGGTATAAATTGCTCCCTCCCATCGGGTGGCTAATATACAGCCCATCCTGTACATGTCAGCTCAGAAGTCAGTGCTACAGTGCCTGGCACTGCAACCTTAATGGCTTTTTGAAAGGGAGGTAGCAAGCCTTTGTAGGGCAGAAGGCAGGAAGGAAAGCAGTAGATGGAAGCAGAGCCAGCCACAAATGAAGCCAGGTGATTTTGTCCGCATTCTCCACCCAGCTGAGGATATAATGGTAGCAATTAGACTGACTAAGGAGGGGGAATCTGACAGACAGTGACACTCCCTGGACTGGGTGCAGGCAGGCAGGCAGGCAGGCAGGCAGGCAGGCTGGAAGTAGACTGAGGTTGGTGGAGTAGAAGCCATTTCCGCAGAATGGCCTCCACTGCCCCAAACTGGTTTGCTTAAAATCACAATGAAAATCAATTAGAAGAACAAAGCTTATGAAGATTATGAAGGGGGAAGTCAGTGTGTGATATACAGAGCTGAATAGGAAGCATGGTGATATATAGAACAAGAAATACAGAGTTGAATAGGAAGCATGGTGATATATAGAACATTAACAGCATTCACCTTTCAAAATCTTAAAGCCTTCATTGTCCAGTGTTCACCAGTCGATACTGGTGCACTGCAAAAGTTCCTTTCTCTCTCTCTTTTTGTCTAATTTGAACAGAGGTACAAGAACATGATACATACACTTTTTAAATATGCAGTCCAGCTTATTCTAAATGAATGACTTCACAACATCATATCTATATCTATGTTTCAGAAAAACAGATGGGAGCATGATCATTTTTGGTGGAATTGATCAATCTTATTTCACTGGTCCTATTAACTGGATTCCTGCCACATATAGGAAATTTAAGATTGAAGTGGACAGGTAAGCAGGAATTATTCTTATTAGTAGTATTAGCAACATTATTGTTAATCTTACCATATTGACTGGGTACAATAAAACTGAAAAGTTTTTCTGAATAATTTTAATGGCTACTAGTTAGCTAAACAGGAAGAGATGGAGGGCAATAAAATGCAATTGCGAATGTGCGACTTACTCTGTGTTTTCTAGTTGTCCTTTGTTAGAATGACTTATATAGGACCGTTCTTATAAATTGCATTTACAAAGTGCTCTGAGCACTTTACAATCTGTAGTTCATGAGTTTTGTTTTATGCCTTGTACTATTTCCAATGCAGCTTCCTAAAAGTACTTACCACACCCCACTCTCCATTTAAAAAAACCAACCCATGTTTGGGGAAGGGCCCTACCTCAGCTGAGGATCATTTGCTTTGCAAGCAGAAGCCTCCAGGGACATAGCTATACAGCTGCAAAGAAAATGTTTTAAGTGTGTTTTAAGTGAAATATACAATGTGACGCTAGATGTTGATGGTGAGCCTTACGGAAAATTCCATGTCTTTTTAAAAACTTTTTTTAAAAAATAGCATTTTTTATTCCACCTCGGTTGCATAGCTGATATTTCCAGGCCGTTCTATGAGAACTCCCTCTCTGAAATCCTGGAGAGCTGCTCTATACAATGTGGGATTTTTATGTTTCATGTCAGAATCTAAAGAATCTAATGATGTCCAATTTCTCAGCATTCTAGTGTATGGTCAGGCAATCGCCTGCAGAGATGGCTGTGAAGCACTTCTTGACACGGGGACGTCCTTCTTGCTCGGCCCAGCATCTGAAATTAGCCAAATTCAACAAGCCATTGGAGTTACAACAGTAAGATTGACTTTTGCTGGTTGTCTTCATACTGTAGCTGAAAGAGGCCCAGTACCATCCTTTTCACTCCAGTGTCCACACTCCATACTCTAATTGTTAGCCAGAGCTCAAGTTTTAGAGGCACATAACCAAAGGTAGTGAGGATTAGGCTTGACCTAGGATATCGCCTGGACTGCAACTGCTGAAACCTTGGTGCCAGGCTTCATAGTTCTTCATGATACTGCACATGCATGCAAATGTACATGAGCATACAAACTATGACCATGGAAATGGCAGGGAAAGAAAACAATCTGGGAGGGTGACATCCCATGAAATAAACACTTCCAGTGAGCCTGATACAAAATCCACACAATTAAATGAAGTGATGGCCTTTTTTTAATGGGCTTATTGCCTCTTGGAAGATTGTTCCCCATTGCTAGATCCTGTTGCAATGAGAGTATGATCCATGGAAGCTTCTCTCTGACTGATGGTGATTTCATGTGTGACCTTGCCATTTTTATATGACATAACCTGAGAATGTCCCCTGGGTTTATTGTACTGTTGTATGTGCTTTGGGCCCCTTCATGGATCACTGCCTTGCTGTGGCGAAGGGGCTTGAATAACTCAGAGAAGCTATGAGCTATGCCGTGCAGGGCCACCCAAGATGGACAGGTCATAGTGCAGAGTTTTGACCAAACGTGATCCACCTGGAGCAGGAACCGGCAAGCCACTCCAGTATCCCTGCCAAGAAAACTCCATGGACAAAGACAACAGGCATATAAAAGTTATGACGCTGGAAGATGAGCCCCTCAGGTCGGAAGGCGTCCAACATGCTACTGAGGAAGAGCGGAGGGCAAGTACAAGTAGATTCAGAGCTGATGAAGCGGCTGGGCCAAAGCCGAAAGGACGCTCAGTTGCAGATATGCCTGGAAGTGAAAGGAAAGTCCAATGCTATAAAGAAAAATATTGCATAGGAACCTGGAATGTAAGAACCATGAACCTTGGTAAGTTGGATGTGGTCAAAAATGAGATGGCAAGAATAAATATTGACACCCTGGGCATCAGTGAACTAAAATGGACAGGAATGGGCGAATTCACTTCGGATGACCATCACATCTACTACTGTGGGCAAGAATCCCGTAAAAGAAATGGAGTGGCCCTCATAGTCAACAAAAGAGTGGCGAAAGCTGTACTGGGATGCAATCTCAAAAATGATAGAATGATCTCGATACAAATCCAAGGCAGACCTTTTAACATCACAGTAATCCAAGTTTATGCACCAACCACTGGTGCTGAAGAAACTGAAATTGACCAATTCTATGAAGACTTACAACACCTAATAGAAATGACACCAAAGAAGGATATTCTTCTCATTATAGGGGATTAGAATGCTAAAGTAGGGAGTCAAGAGATAAAAGGAACAACTGGCAAGTTTGGCTTTGGAGTTCAAAATTGCAAACATGCGCTGGATTATGGAGAAAGCTAGAGAGTTCCAGAAAGACATCTACTTCTGTTTCATTGACTATGCAAAAGCCTTTGACTGTGTCGACCACAGCAAACTATGGCAAGTTCTTAAAGAAATGGGAGTGCCTGATCACCTCATCTGTCTCCTGAGAAATCTCTATGTGGGACAAGAAGCTACAGTTAGAACTGGATATGGAACAACTGATTGGTTCAAAATTGGGAAAGGAGTATGGCAAGGCTGTATATTGTCTC